TTTTAAAGATACTGAATAATCTCCCACCTAAAAATCATAATTAAATGTTTATTACGTTTCTCCATATTAAAATGTCACTCAAGGTATATAAATAGAATAAAAGTTATAAAATAAAATAATCGTTATTTATCTGCCTACATCACATTAGATGCATAATAATACTTTTATTTATACTTACGTTAGTTTCACTATCTCTAATTAAAAAGTCGCCATCGTGACCGTGTTGATTCAACAGTATATCGCACTGTGAGCGTGAAATGCTACCGTAGTACCAAGGTTTCCCAACAAGATGTGGTCTGTCACCAGGGTCTGGCCTTCTCTCAAGAGAATCTTCTGTACTAATCTCATTACTTGTCATTCCTCGTTCACGATACGGTTGCGTTAAATATTCACTGAGTTCTTGAAGATAGTTACGTGGTACAAGACCAATTTGTCCTTGACTATTTCTTGCTTTATACCATTCAGGATCCGCTGGTGGACGGTCAAGGATTTCTAAACGATCACCCTTTTCAAACGATAACTCTTGGTCATTGTTAGAAGAAAATGAATAAAGTGCCACAACAATATCAAGAACATTCTCTGCCATTGCATATGTATGAAGAGTATCATCCGCATCACCTTCCTCTTGAGTATAATTCGATGGGAACCAGCCTGCTTGAGTGCCACTTTGTCCTCTCCACCAGCCATCATTGCTTTTTTCTAATATTAGAATTCTAGTGCCTTTGACAAGTGACAGTTCATCTGCTTGTTGTGCTTGATAATTATATTTGACAACTGCTGTACCTATCGCTTCGCTTGGATCAGCAGGTAGGCGCCTTGCCATGATTGGAGATTCCACAGCTCTAGACGGTGAATTACTAGATGGTAAGGTTTTTGAACCAGAGCCCTTTTTGACTTTCTTTTTGATACTATCGAAAAGGGATGGTTTTTCTTTTTTGACATAATTACTTGGCACATAGCCAGCTTGGCCTCTTGCACTTTGTACTCTCCACCAATGCTTCGAGTCATCGAGGAGCAAGTAACGCTCGTTTTTACGCAAATCTAACTCCTGAGCACCCTGTGCTCCATAATCATATTTGGCGACAACATAACACACGTCGTCTTGACTTGTTTTGCCTGAAAATTATCATAATTACATTTATTAAATATTACATAGCCTAAACAGTAATACGTTAATAACGATCCTTTCAGTCTAATCACACTTGCATTTATTTACTAAGAAAATAGAATTAAAATTTAAAATTATTTATATTTATTGTTCAAACATAGAATAAGTTTAAAACTAAAATCAATCAACACATATACCCAGAGAAAACAATCTCCATAAAAAAGCAAATAAGCAATTAAATTTTGAAAATATTTTAAGTTGAATATAGTAAAAAATCTATGTTATTTAATTGTCACAATACAGTACATAGGCAACACGAATTGTTATGCTCCATAGTCAAACTCAACTCCACCGATTTTAAGTATGATTAAGTACTTTTATTTTAGATATTATAAAAAGATAAATTTATTTATACTTATCTTATTAATATTAGCACTTAGGAGGATATGTATTTAAATAATTACTTTTAAATAAGTGACTGATTACAAATTTATTCAAGACATTATACATAACAGGTTTATGCCAACCGTAAACTATAATTGAAATATAAATCGAAATTGAAATACATAAAACACAGCATAGCGAAACAAGTGCAAATAATATAAAAATTTATTGTTTTCAATTATTAAGTTCTCTCATAGCATTTTGGTATAATACATTTTAAAATTTATATAAGATAAGTATTGAAAAATACTTTGTAACAAAATTGTATGAATGGAGAAACTGTATTCCATTCTGTTGAATTATAAAGAAAATAGCTATTGAAACAAGTTTACATACAAAGCAAAGCATACAAGAATAAAACGTACCATGCTTCATGGCTGCCATGTGCGAAAACAGATATATATGTCTGAGTGTGGCGCGAGTAGCTGCTACTCGCGCACTACTTGCACAAATCTTAAGTCTGCTTGTACAGTGTCGACGGCGTGAGTGCAGCAGGCATTCATTCTTTAGCTTTTTTGTTTAGTGTTGATACACCTGCTGATTTCTTTGCTCAGAGTCCATCGTTCTCAAGGGTAGGGCAAGCATGTGCATTACCAACACTTCAGGGAAAATGAAATAACAATCATTAACTTGACATAATAGATACTATAATACTAAAATGTTAGACATATTGTAATATAAAAAAGCACTACACTATATCCTTATTTAATTTTATCATATATTCGTTAATATTTATAAATATATGCATGCATTTCAGTATTATCCGAATTATCAAATTCAATATCTGATGTATTACATCTTTAAACAATGTAAGTTTGTTAGTTCTGATTGACTATATAATGCAAATAAGATAAAGGAATAGTTGTTGAAATTCTTAAACATTCTTTGGTATTATTAAGTCTTATCAAAGTTGTAAAAGTATACTTATATAGATCACTGAAAAGTAATTATTTCAAAACTTTATACCACATTATTATTTCTGGAATATTAATCAGGAAACTTGTAAAAAATCATATACATATGTATATATATATAGACATTGCACATGAAATCACATACCCTCTCAAGCAAACTCGGCTTCCGTTAGGAGAAAAAGTGGCATTGAAGAAGGGCCTCTTACCACTTGGTAAATTTATTTCAAGTACTGAAATAAAAGTTAAATTGAATGTTAATTTGGCATAAATTTCAGTAATTCCTGATATTAAATGGTAGGAGGCCTTTCCAATATACCACTTTTTCCCCTAGCAGAAGTTTGCACATCAATGTACATGTGTATCCTTAGTGCAAAAAATATATCGACTTCTTAAAATATCACAGAGTATCAACTGATAATGTTCTTTAATATTGGATGATTCCATTTGTTCAAGAACAGACATGGATGAATCTTTGTTCTAAAACTTGTGAATCTCTCGAGAAAAGGCTAAACTGACAGAAAAACTATGACAGTACCCAAGTCAAGTTTATTAACTCTAATCCTGTAATTAACTGTTTTTCAATAATAAAAAACATTTTGTGGTTTCATGTCTAATAAGATTATCATTTATTAAGCCATTCAATTAGATTTTTAAAATATCGCTTATTCAAATATTAAAGAAAAATAAGATTTTTCAACCGAAATAAAATATTATTAAAGTCTGCAATATTACCCAGATACAATAATGAACTTTGAAAAAACAAATATGAACTCTATCAAGTACAACATACAAAGGTATCTAAATATAGCTACAAACATTAAACGTGTTTTAATCAACAAAAAGTATATTAAAATTATAACTTAAAAACTACATACATATTTAATTATAGATTATGGTATTTAAAAAGATATAAACAATGAAACATATAATGAACAATATATTGATTCCAATATGTCATAAAGTAAAACTATTCTAGGAATGTGTAAAATATTAAATTGAAATTGCGATTATTGAACAAAAATAAAAAAATTCTCACAATATTTTACATACAACACCTGCAATGAGTGAAACAATCGAAAATAAAAACATCTGTGAAACAAGCAATTACAAATATCATTCAATCATCTACTTTATAGGAAAACCAGCTTAGAAGCTTATACGAAAAGAAAAATGGAATTCTACACACATTATATCGTTTCAACTACAGCTTATACTCTAAATTCGACAAACGTCATATACACAACGATTCAATAAAACACGCGCGACGTACGTGTCACGTATCGTAAAATATTTACAATGCTGCATACAACGTGTGAACAAGAATCAGGCAATTGTTTTCAAATTCCTTTCGTGGAAACGTCGAATAAGAATCAGCGACTTTCGAAGCACGTATATAGAGTACGCTTATTGCCTTACTGCCTACCATACTACGAAAGCAGAGAGTAGAAGCGTGTTGAATGCAAGGGGCAACGGCTAGCGCGAATCAATTTAGCCGCTCGCCTCATTATTCATTAAGTACGATTACTTATTGTTTTATCGTTCAAAGAAAACGAAGTAAATACTAACTTACCGATTTTTAAACTTGACATATTCCTGCATACAAGCTTCGAAATTTTACGTCGTTATACAGCTTGTTTTCCCCCACCCCAGGCCGCAGCCATGAACGGGAGCGACTAGAACGTATGTATAGGGGATTGAATCTTTATGGGGAATCGGGTCGAACAAAGGGGGGAAGTGGGAATTAGGGAAAGACAGCACAAGTTGTAGAGAACTCCATCCAGTATTAGGTTTTTATCCACCGTTACGCTGTCAATAAGCACTGAACACAAAAGTACAATGTCGACACTGTTCTCCACAGTGTTGTCTTTTTGAATCTGAAGAATGCATGCAACCAGTTCTATGTGAATATTACGGTATTTTTTATTCGTTGCACTTATATTCGCTTATACGACCCCTCCCGCAAAAGGAACAGACCCACCCTTAATCCAAAGACGTCGAACAACCATGCGCGCCACTAAGATCATCGTCTCTGTTGAACTTGTATCTAATGCGAGGCTGGCGCCACATTATGGTGTAATATATAAATAATACTTTTGATGCTTTCAATTCAGTAATCGATGTATATTATCATTCAATTTTGTATTGAAATCATTAAAATTCAATTGTTAAGTCTTAGTGAAACAAAGAAGTTTTATTTTATTTTCATTGTACCACAAACGAGGTACTCTCACGAGCAAACTCGACTTGTTGCAGGGGAAAAAGTCTCCTACCACTTAGTAATTTATTTAAAGTACCGAAACAAATGTTAAACCGTATGTTAATTTGGCATACATTTCTGTAACTCCTAAAACTAATTGGTAAGAGACCTTTCGCCTACGTTACTTTTTCCCCTAGTGGAAGCCGAGTTTGCTCGAGAGGGTACAGCTATAGCGTTTATGCGTTTCTATAGCAAAGCGCTGTATGCAATGTGAACCTGAAGCTTATCTCTGACTACCAGATCCATAGTCATTCGTGGTCCACCCGTCCACCCCCTGGCTTACCTAGCTAGTCCCAGGCGTCCCAGCCAGTCCATAAGATTGCTGGCAGATTGCTGGATTCTATCAGATTGCATAAGATTTGCGCCAATTTGAGCAGTGCTCATGTTTTTCTAACCATGTTATTAAATTTTCATTAAATCTATTTCGTAATTTCATTTAGAAAATATAGCTATGAAAAATGGCTTCGATACACAACAGTTACCCAAATTTTACGACCAAATTTGATTTTATAACAGAAAAATTGCTCATATTAACCAAGGTGAAAAATGTTGAAACGAAGTTAATCAACAGTTACCTTTGTGATCTCAATAAACTCGATTACCAGTATGTTACTATTTTGAATAATGATGTAAGTTAACTTAAAATATTTATATGCATTTCAGTTTTATTAGTTGTATTTAAAATACAGTTCATATCAAAATGGTGTATTTATTACAATCAAACTGTTCGTGTTATTTGAAATAAATTATTTTAAATATCTGATTGCTTTACTTTATTTCAACATTTTAGATATTACAACTATTAATTAAGCAATTATGTATAACTGCAACACCTGTGGAAACAGTTATGGTCCAAAATCTATGCAAACTTTTAACCAGTTTGGTCCAAAATAATGTGAAACTTCAGCATCAGACATTTGCGAGTGTTAAACAATGGTTATTAGAAATTACAGAATCAGCCTTACCAATTGTGCACAAAGACATCCTTATTACTTTAAAATGCATTTTAGTCAATATTGAATTTGATGATATTAATCTTGTAAGTATCATCTTTTTTATAAAAAAATATGTCATGTTATATCACAATAGTTTAAAATAATTTATATTTGCAGTATGTAAAATTATTACTTGAAGATGATAAAATATTGCAAAAATATTTGAGTTCATCTGATTTACAATGTTCTGATACCCATTATTGTGCACTTGGCTGTTTAGAAGGAATTTTGATGAATAAACATAATCAGAGTTTGATAGCACAAGAATTTGTATCTACTATTAAGAATATTGTAATAAATATCATTTCATTTTCTTTATACTTCAATGATAATAAACTTTTTCATGCCAAGGTAAGTATTACATTTTTAATGCAACAAATTTGTGTGATATTGATTGCTATGTATAAAATAAAATTTTTTAGGTTTTAACTTCATGTTTGCATATACTTCACATTATAACAACGAATAAGCTATTACCACATTCCATAGATTTTATGGGTGAAATTTTGGGAGTAGTGCAAGTATTGTTATTTTATGGAATCAAGGATTATGTACCTTTGAAACCACAACTTCTACGTCCAGCAGCAATGAATCTTCCTGAACGAATTCACACCATTCCTAAATGTAAAAATTTAAAGAACCATAAAGCAAAGTCAAAGAAACAACCAACCAAGAAAACTAGCATGGAACTGAAAGATAATATTATGCCTGAATGCAAAGTTGTTAATATCTATTCGAGTGACTCTGACACTTCGGATACGGAAAGTAATAATTCTATCTATGTGGACTCTAAAATTAGAGTAGAAGCTGTATGCTTATTACAAGTACTTGTTGAAAACTCACAGAGCCGTGAAATATTTGGTTTTTGGCCACAAATTGTTGCCACTGGATCAGACAATGATGCAAAAGTATTGACTAGATGTATTTTAAAAGAATCTGTGCCAAAAGTGAAACAAATCATGCTAAGCACTCTCACTGAATTACTCACGGATGCTAAGTCTTTTTTAATACATGCTGAAGATACCCACCATACATCGTTTATTACTTTTTTTGGTACTGTGGGTCTAATGATAAAAGAGTTGCATTTCACATTGTCTTTAGTATTGAGTAGTGATAAAAATGTAGCAGTTTTAACTCGTGCTTTAAAATGTGCTGTTGCTCTAATTCAGGGTACACCGTATGCACGTTTGAAGACAGGACTTGCTACAAAATTAATGAGAAACTGTAGACCATACATATTCCACAAAGGTACTTTTATATTATTGTACTGTTTATCTATTGTTATGTTGTTAATGAATATTAATAAAATTAATCATTGGGTACTTTATGCTTTTGCTAGATCCGACAGTTCGTGTTGCAGCATTGTCGACTTTTGAAGCTATTGCTTCTTGTGATCCAGTAGTGACTGAAATATTAAATATTCTTGCAAAACAGTCGACTATAAATACAGAATCGAAGCAAGTGCATTTAAATGTTTCGTTTAGTGATAATACAGGTGGAGAAGAAGAGGAAGAAGAAGTTGATATTGAAGATTCGAAAAATAATGTAACTGTTGAATATGATAACAAATTATTAAAAGAAACAAACGTATGCTTTTTGATTCATGTTTGTTTGCAGAACATTTCGAATAAGGTATAGATATGTCTGCAATGAAAAATATTTTCTGTGGAAGAAGATATTTTTGAAAATGAATAACGATTTCTTTAATTACAGACGATGAGCACACCTGTTCGTCTTCAATCTTTGAAATTAATTGGTAGAATGGCATTCAGTACTGGAAGTTTTGTGTTTTCGCATATAGAATTAATTACAGCTACTTTAGCTACAGTTATACAAGATTCTGAAATACAAATAATACTACATGCATGTCGTGCTTTAGAAATTATAGCTGGATGTCTCATGAACACTGACTCGGACAATAATAATGCCTTAATATTCTGGAATATTATATTTGACCCCATAATATCAGTTCTTCAACATTCACAGACAATATTAAGAGAGGCTGCATGTGATTGTTTGGGTAGCACTAGTCCCATCGTATTTACTCAACTTTCGGTAAATATTTGTTTGCAAATAAGTTAATCTTTACCCTATTTATTCAATCTAATATTTGGTTTCAGTAAATTTTTATATAAAGAAGTAGTTCTTTAAATCTCTGAACAATTACATATACCGGTTTTTATTAATGTTTTAATAAAAATAATTGTTTTTTATAAACTACATCTACGTACCTTTCTTTTTTAATATTTTAGAGGCAAAAGACTGTTCTAGTCATCACAGTACTGTTTGGTGCAATTCACGACGAAGAAAGTGCAGTGAGAGCTGCAGCATTAAGAGCATTAGGAATGTTGGTCATGTTACCTCCACTGAAAGAAGAAACTGGGTTTTTAATGGATTTAGCTGATATAGTTTGCTTGACTGCCGACGATAAAAATCTTGGTGTCCGCATTAAAGGAGCTTGGACGCTTGCTAATTTATGCGATTGCTTTTCCAAAGAAAAGTTAGTTAAAAATCTATTCAATATCTAGCTTTAACATTTATTTGTAGGTTTATAATCTGTAAGTATCCATTTTTTCATTACAAATACTTATACAATTTTCTTTACAGAAATGACAAAGAAGTAGAGCCTTTTTCTTTAGAAGTGCTGTTACCGAAACTATATCAAGTTAGTATTAAGGCATGTAAGGATAATGATAAAGTAAAATGCAATGCTGTTCGAGCTCTTGGAAGTATTCTGTATTTATGTCCCAATAAACATATACTGAATGATACATTATCAGGATTGGAGGCCCTTATAAATTGTGCCATTTCAGGACATGACATGAAAGTAAATGAACAATATTACATGTATTAATCCGTTATTTAAATTGTTCAACATACTTCATATTTTAATTGTTTAGAAAATTTTACGTTACCTTAACCCTTGTGTGGGCAACCAAAATATTCATGGTTATTGAGCAATTAGAATACTTCTATTCTGACAGATTAGATAAATATAGATAATTTTACTTTCATAGTTTTCCGAAACTGTTAGTTTTTCCTTCCCAGAATATACCAAGTGCCGTTTTAGACAAGAACAAAAAAAAAAAAGGAAAAAAATTGTGAAAGGTAATTTAGAAATGGTCACCTGGGTACCCGGATACTCGGTTGCCTACACAAGGGTTAATGCAATAAATTTTCAGTAAATTCCGACATGTTACATGATAACTAGACGGTGGATCTTCGTGCAATTTCAGATTTTTATAGATCAATTTACCGAATTGAAATTATGTCAGAGATTCGTTTTCTTTATTTCTGGCTCTTTGGTTTCAAAATAATTTTCAGGAAATGTTTTACTGCGCTGTATTTTGCATATTCACACATTTACGATAAGGGCATAAAATTCGTAATCCGATAATAACTATGGAATTTAATATGATATCATTTGATGAATGTTGAAGGTACGCTGGAATGCTTGTCGTGCTTTAGGATTGGTTTTAAGTAATAATCCGGACAATATACTATCACCTTCTTGGCGGGTATGTATGTGATTAATAGAATGAATATATTTTTAAATTTCTTATAACTAGTATGTAATAACATTTCGTTGTTTCAGTAGGACTTAGTATTCCCTGCATTATGCAACTTAATATGCCACAGTCCAAACTTTAAAGTTCGCTCTAATGCAGCATGGGCGCTATGCGCTTGTAATTCTTACGGCAAATATACTGCAAGTTTGTGGAAGAGCATTATTTTAGCATTCGAAAATTCTCAGCATGTACCAAGCTACATTGAGTATCCCCATCGCGATGCTCTGGTTCAACAAGTAATTAAAATTATTATAATACATAAAATTATGTAAACATGATTTTATATATTAATTATGACTATAATTTGTTTAGTTGTGCCTTGCACTTAGTCATGTGGCTGCTTGTACCAATGTGTCAGATTTACAAAACGTTTGGTCAGAGGTTGGTGATCACGTGGATGATACTTTTAATTACATGAAACAATTCCAGGTACAATAATTTAATATCCACGATTGCTAATCATTAATACAACTGTATTCTAAATGTTCAGGCACTGTTAATGTAACAATTGTTATAAAATTTATAATGCGAAAAAGTAATTTTACTCAATGTTATTATTTATCATACTTTCGTTTTAGGAGACAATTGTGCCTGAAAAAATTAGTGACTTAATAAAAGCGAAATCTCAACTAGAGAAATATGTGAAAAGTGCTCCCTCATTAGAAGATCAAAAGATTGCCCAAACATTGGCAAGTATTTTTGAAAGAACAAAACGATATGACAATTTAGATGCAACTTTTTCAACATTATGATTGCATAACTATTAAAAAGGAACAAATTCATTGTGCATTGCATTTGTGTACATACTACAGTAATGTCTTGATAAGTGTGAATGCCTCGGTTCCGCGGAGTCACATTCACGCTGGAGGCGACCAGTTGTCAGCACCTCGTCAATCAGTTTTTGGCTCGAAGCTCGAGCCTCGGCCGCTTGCCTTTGTAGTGTTCCGATATAAAAAAGGGCAAGCGAGTGAAAAACAGACAGAGAAAGCATCTCCTTCCACTCAATTCGACTGCGTGAACCAGCCTGCGACGCTCCCGCGGGCCAGAGTTAAGCAGAATTTTATTCGAATAATACACAGTGAGAAGCAGCAGTATCTAAGGGTGTCGTTCTGAGCTTTAAACAGTGAATGAGAATAAATAATTGTTCGACAAATGTCGATTCATACATAAAGAAGTATTATTTTATTATAAAAATTTAAATTTCCACGTCTGAACAATTAAAAATGACGAAATACTTTTTTTATCTTTTATTCGTTATTCGAAACTTTTCATCTAGATAATTAGTTTGCCCATCTCTGCCACCGGCCAATGGTTACATTGTACTCACTGCGGTTTGCATTATCTTACTCGGTCTCGATGTATCTCGTTCGTTGTCTTCATCACACAGTCCGATTGTGTGTGCTAATTTCATTCATCGCCAGCTCTTTAAGCATTCGCGTGTGTTGTACATATACATATACATTTCCCCGTTCTGTTCGTCGTGCCAGTCGGTGAGAAGAAATATAGACTTTTTTCGACGAGTCGATGCGACGGCTGAACGAGGGGAGATCAAGAAAACATTACATTCTCGGGTATCGGTGATACAACGCTAATGCAATGATGAAACTTCTTTATTTTTGATTCGTTAATGAAAGTTTTACTAGTATATTGGTGAGAATTTTCTGATTAAAATGATACCAAATACAACATAATTTGGATCATATTTACTCATGTAAAAAGTGTTAACAATTATCGCTTCTGATAAATCATAAGTAAATATGGTCCAAATTATATCGTGTTTGGTATAATTTTAATCAGAAAAATCTCACGAATATATTGGTAAAAGTTTCGTTAACAAAGAATCGAAAACAAAAAGTTTCATCGTTGCATTTGTTCTCTTCATTTAGCCGTCGGCTCGTGAAAGGGAAGCCGCCGCGGCGCGCTGGGCAAAGAATTATACGCTTGACTGGTTCTACGGCCCCCTTCCCCAGTAGTGGGGATGACGACTTCACACTTATCGTGGAGGAGCCGGCTCGCACTTATCAAGACATTACTGTATATAGAGTACAGGTAACATTTTGAATAGAATGTAAATGCAGTTATTACTAAATATGTATAAGCTACATAAATTTTTAACGAATAGTTCATTTTCTTCAGTTATATTTAACATGATAGGATAATTTATTTGAATTTGTGTTTTACGTTTACATGTACTTATACTTCTAATTTTACTTTGTATAAAATATTTGTACATACATAAAGCGATTTTGAAATAGATGATCAAATTTATAGACATAATCAGTTATTATAAGAACATATCCCACTCACCACCCAATGAAAAAGTCATGTAATTGCAATTCGTATATTGACATTAAAATTCTAATAGAATTTTAAAAGATTGAATAATAATAGATTAAAAATTGTAATACTAATTCATACAGGTAGCATTGTTTTTAAATAAGATATAATCCATAGCTTTGGTTAGTTACATCTAACACAACTTACATACATAGATATAAAAAAAATTTAACAATCTCTAACGATTTATTCAATATTTGTCAAAAATACTGTCAAGTATTTCAATAGAAACAATCGCAAATGAATATACACATGAATTTATAATCACACTTGCTTCTGTTTTCAATTCTTATTTTATTCACTGTTAAGGAGTGTACTATCTGCATTAGTACTTACATTTTCCTCATTGTTATTTACTGATGTTTTACATTCGGTGATTGATTCGTCATTAATATGAATAATTTCAGAGTCATCATTTTTTGTGTTAGAATTATTTTGTAAATGTAACTTATTTTGATTTATATAATCCTTATCTAAATTTTTATCATTACTTGTTTCTGGCTTATGTTCTACAACTATACTATTTTTAATTGCTTCGTCTGATACAACTTCAGATACATTATCATTTTTGTCATTTGTATCTTGTTCATCCAAACTTTCTTCTTCTGAATCACTATTGTCACTTTTATTTGGTCGGTCATTTGACACTTTCAATTGTTTCTTTTGCTTCCACTTCTGTTTTTTTTTCTGTCTCTTTGCTCTCTTTTTAGCTGTTATCTCTTCAGCTACCCTTTTATTTTCCTCCAATTTCCTATGATATTCATCATCTAAAAGTTCCTGATAAAGATATCATAAACCTTCATATTTCTCCTTCAGTTAAAAATATAAACTAATACTTTACATTTTTATTTTATAAAAATTACTTTAGCTTATATTAATTAAAAGGACAGTTATTTTGTACAATTTAGTACAATTTTCAAGCTTTTACATGTCTATTTAAAAAAGTATTTTATGTATGCTACATAAATTATGTTTAAGATTACCTTACGACCCTTTTCTTGAATAAATTTTTGTCTGGCATATTCTTTACGCCGTAAATGTCTATACACGTGAAATTCGCCACTGCCTGCACCTGCACTACTGCCCATAACATTACGTACAAATTCTGGTACTGTTGGTGTACTTTTAACTTTAGGTCTTTCCGGTAGTAGAATAGGCTTTTCCTACCGTAACAATAAAATTTCACACTCTAGTGTCATAAACTTGTGAAACAACCACTTAAATGATTTAAGTTATTTAGTTGAAAAGTTATTACACAAAAACACAAACACATTACAGCAGGTAGTATGAAAACACAATTTACACTTATTATACTCACAGGATTTTTCATTAATTTCTGCAATTTTAATCGTTGCAAATCAATTGCACTTTTTGCAACAACCGGCTTTTCTTCCTCTTTTTCTTTAGTCTCCGACATATTAATTAGTGTTATAACAATTTTATCAATTTGATATATAATATATGTAGTTTTCACAACTTAGTTGACAAAGGTTAAGTCATGAAGACAACACTGACAACAACCGTGAATATGCGCATATGCGCAACACGAAAAATGACACTTAGTTCAGGGGTGGCCATTGGCCAACAGACGGCTCGCAAGCAGAGCATAGATATGATAGATTATAGATAGTGTTAACTTACGTGAAGTTAGTCGGACAACTTTAACTTTTTAACTTTTCATTCCTCTCTGGTGACAGGAACAATGGTGTGTTACTAATAATTTCAACACGATCCAGTTGGTAACCGTAATAGTAGCAGAAGGCTTTCAATATTGACGCAGATTGGCGCTTATCGAAAATCTTATAATCGTCAAGGACTGGAAAAACTTCGCTGTCAAATTCAAAGTAATCTTTGGAGAATATATCACAGTATTGTTTACTGTAGAAACAATGTCAGATACTGTAATAGACGAAAGGTAATTTCCGTGACGACTTGCAATCAATGTTTTGTACAGACATTTAGTTTTGTTGAATATTTACTGAAATCTTTTACAGAGTCACTGATGAAATAGAAGCATTAAGAGCAATTCTACTCGACGATGAGTTGAATATAAAAGAAAATGAAAGGTAAGTTTATGTATGAAAAACATAATGCTTGTAACCTAGATGTACAACCAATTGACTTGTTTAAAAATTTTCATTTTTTATATGCCTTTGTAATAGCTTACTTATGTATAAATTTTATTGTGATGGGAATGGTATTTTTGGTCAGAACAATTTTATATGATAAATGAATAAATTTCTTGGCATTCACAGGATAAAATACCAATTCCTTGAGAAATAAAAGACCGGAGTCCTTAAGTATCTTTGGTGTTACAAACTGCATGTTCTTAGTATATATGTAACATAATAATATTGACATACTTCTGATCATAAATCTACGTTGAAGATATTATTGTCATTTTATAATAACAATACAAAATTTAAATTCCTAAAGGGTGTACTCTTTTCATTGAAAAGAAGATATGAATTTTTTTTATAGATACATAGGTAAAAAATTAAGAGGTAAACGATAAATACTTTTCATAGATAATACATAATATAGCATTATAAGGATTGTTAATAAACAATGTTGCAAAGTATTAGAAGTATTTATTATACTAAATAAACTTTTATGTATAATGTTTTAAAAAAACAAAATCAATGAATACATTCTTTTTACAATATTGTTATACTTGTGAATAATGATAATTAACATTTTTAGTAATTTATATTTGACTTTAAGATTATCGACCTGAACAACAGTGAAGATAATATTTCACAATTTCTATGATTTTATAGTTATAAGGTAACAATCGATTTCTTTTCAGAGGTGAGCCAGAATGTATTGAGACTGTGTTATTTCCTTCGACTGGTGAAGATTCTGAGTCTCAATATGTTTGTGTAACATTAATTGTTCAATTACCTATTGGATATCCTGATGTATCACCTACTATTAACCTTAGAAATCCTAGAGGTTTAGATGAGGAAACAGTGAAACTTATGCAGTCAGATGCAGAAGCAAAATGTGCAGACTTTATAGGTCAGCCAGTAATGTTCGAATTGATTGAGGTATGTCAAAGATATGTTAACCCCTTGCCCTATAACATCGAGTTAGACTCGTTTTGACAATTTCGAAATCGATTCAAAGAAGAAGAATATTATTTGGTATTCTTTGAGCCGAAGTGAAATGTCATGTTCCTGGCATTATTATTTAACTTGTACAGTAAAAATACAGTTGCGATAAGTAGAGAATTCCTTGCGTTTTTGGGAAACTATTAACAACAATGTAATCCTGGAGTCTGCAGATGTCAAGAAAATCGTAGGGCAAGGGGTTAATATACGCGTGACTTTTATTAAAATTTTTCAAACATTAAATTAAGACTAGGAAATACATTGATATGCAGATAATTGAAAAGTAAAATATATGCAAAATGTTAATTGTTCAGTCATATATGAAAAAAATATTCCATTTAATTATATCAATAATGGTAATAGAATTGTCATGCAGCAAATAAAATAGCTGTATTCATATTTTTCTTAATTTTATATCACAACATTCAACTTTTTTTTATTATATGAAATAATTGTGATTCTTTATTTTTGTATTTCATGTTTTTATAATAATTGGTAATCATTTTTAATATTGTTATAACAGTTAATAAGAGAACACCTTACAAGGAGTAATCTTCCTACGGATCAATGCGCCATATGTTTGTATGGTTTTCGAGAAAGAGATGAATTTACAAAGACAGAATGTTATCATTATTTTCATTCGCACTGTTTAGCAGCGCACATTGCAGCTGCGGAACGATATTATAGAGAAGAACAAGAAAAACTGCCACAATGGCAACAAGATGTTAAAAATAAATTTCAGGTATGATCCTTATGTTTTCAGGATTCAGTTTTAACATTTTCCACAATCCACCCTGCGTTCTTTACAAATATAGGAATAAGTTCTCACTTTTAATTATACTTTGTCATTTGTATGTTGTGAAATTGTAAACAATTTAATAGTCCATTAAAAATTAATTTTTAATGGAAATTTCATCAGTAATTATTCTTTTAGGCTATATGTCCTGTGTGTCGAGAATCAATCAATTGTGATGTAGAGAATCTTTGGTCAGCACCACTTCCAATTGACGTTGAAGCTGCTACAGATTTTTCAGTTACTACAGAATTGAGAGAATTACAGAAACAAATGGCAACATTATTTTTGAGGCAACAACAGAGGGGTGGTATAATAGATTTAGAAACTGAAGGTGTGAAAATGCTGGTAAGAACAGAAGATGAATCTGAGACAACTACTGAAGAATTTAATCTACCAGGAACCAGCTTAAATACATACCCAGATCAGACTGTACAACCTGTTAACCAAATGGTATGGACATCTGTTACTATTATTTAAAAAAACCACAATAGCAGTGTAATTTATAGTAACAAATATGAGGAATCATTATTTGTGTACAGATTACGTTCAATAAAAAGGTAATTTCTTTAGCAGTTACTGCAATCGAAGCAGCCCTTGCACCAGGCACAAAATCATGGTCATTGTCAGCCACGGCCCCTACATAATACGTACCACGGGCATAATAATCAGAGACATCGGAATAGAGGAGGTCGTGGACGAGCTAATTACCGTCGCCAGTTTGACAGAGTTAGACAGACGGAATCTACTCCCACATGACAATGGGTTCGAAGTAAACTTTACTATCTGGTCTTCTATTTCACTAATTGTACACAAAAATGTTTAACATTAGTAGCATAATTATGAATATATTATATGATAATTGTTCAACTTCAAATCACTTTTACGTGATAAAATTATAGGTATTATCGTTCAGCAACATTCCCGTTGTAACGGTGTATAAAATGACGCATGTTCGTATTGTCACAGACAAGACATAAGAATTTATTCTTATATCTCGTCTATGGTATTACCAAGGACTGTTTGTATAGACTGAAGCCATGGTGCTCTTTTGAACGATCTGCAGTCGTACACAGTTAATTAATTTTTTTTTAATGTACATGTGTACACAGAGGTGTAAGTACTATAGCATATTATAAAAAACAAACCGGAAAAAAGTTCACAATCAAATACTACCCACTAAAAATATATTATACCAGTGATTTAGAATTTAATGATGTAGGAACATAAAAAAAATAATAATATGTATCATTTGTATTGTGTACATTTTAGGATAATTTTCGTGTGCGCTTTGCAATTTATAATACTCATTTTCCTCCTATCACATGTATCGACTATCAATGATATTATGGGTCGTGACGTATAACAGAGCAGACATGGATCAGTATTTAAACAGATATTTACTTATTCCTTGTAAAGGAATTTGAAATTTAACGCGTACGTTTGGAGGTAATGTAAATCTTTAGGAAAAATATGTAATACCATTATATCTCAAGTTTAACATACGAAATATAGCTTTCAAAAGTTGAGAATCTTGATTTAATGCATGAATCACCACTACTTCTGAGAAAATGTTTTTTCGAAAGTTTTCGAAAAAGTAACTCAAAAGCAGTATTTTCTTAACACATTCGCTGCTGACCGAGTATCACACGTATATCGCCAAAGTTCACAGACGATACAGACCCGCGGCGTCAGCAGCGAATGTGTTGACCATTTAATACTTTTTCAATACAATACATTGATTTGTATACATACATAACATTTATATCTAACACATTTTATTATAATTCTGATTATTTCAATTTTTTTCAAATCTATGTAATCAGAAACCAGAGTTGGGCAAAATGTAATCTAATTACAAAATTCACATTTACAAAAAAAATTACAATGTAATTGTAATTGCAATTTAGATTCTATAATTAGATTACATTCTGCTCAACTCTAGCAGAAACTGTTTAATCTTTAATTTCGTTTATATGGTTAATCAAGATACGAAATTTATTTAAAATATTTCTTTGTTGTGTTGAAACGAAAAAGATTAAATCATTCCAATGCGAATTTATCGAGACCTTTTTATTGTGTTATACATTAGTCACAAGTTAGTGAAATTATTGTTCTTCATAAAAAATAGAGTAGGAAGTATATCTATGAAAAGTAAAAAATTTTTATTTCCACAAAGTCATATAAGTTTATTTATATGAATTAAGCTTCACTCCACGAAGAGGATAGAAATGACATGAATAACATCATTATTAATTAATTTTAAGTACTACTAATAAGGATTTGTTAATTAGTGCAATTTATTCTTAGCTTCTCATAAGAGGTGACATTACCCTAATAAAATATAATAGAAAATATTTAATTTATAACTATCATACATTAATAGGAATATTTATTGCAAATTTATTTATTTTTTATAAAGTTAAAATTAAGATTATTGATTTTTATTATCATGTTTTCCCTAGTCTAATACACACAGTAATTGATATAGTTTAAAAAATAAATTTGCTATATGTATGTGCGATGATCTTGAATTTTAAATGTACATTTACATATATAAACATGGTTTAAAAAGAAATTTGCAGTTCTGTTTCCCTCTTGTTATTGTGATTGTATACTAATTTGTATTGGTATATATGATACAATTTATTTTGCTAAACCTACTTACCAAGAAAAGGAAATTTTCTTTTCTTTTCTTCGTTTAATACTATATCTATTCTTCTGTAATACCTCCAAGTAGAAAATCATAACACAAGTTTTACTAAACATTTGTATATACATATATATGTATAATTTAGTTATACTTGGAAATTAAAAACTAGAAATTTATTACGTTCATAATTACAAATTCTTTACAATTTTGATTAACACTTGATTTAAATACAAAGAAGACAAAATCTATTGAGTACAACATATTTTGCAACACGTAAATCAAACTTTTCACGCATAAAATTATACTGTAATAAATTAATTATAGTGACAGTCTTTAGAGTCGTTAAGACTACTAATATAAGAAGACATGTATAATGATATCTTAATATAATAATTTACTAATTTGAAGAAATATATTAAGTTCTTATCTTTAATAAGACTTCTTAACTTTGTATTCAAAATGTAATAAATCAGATGCTCACATTTAATATGAACTATTGTTATTTCTTGTTTTGTAGTTCTTACATCATATTATATAATTGCATTATTGTGATTAGAACATTTCATATAATTATAAAAGGACCGCATTTGTTAAAATCGAAATAAATTAATGAATCGTATCGTTTATGGAATCCAATCTGTTGTGGAAAAATCACATTGAACTTTTGACAAAATTGCTTTCATGTCTAATTGCGTAGTATTAGAAAATAATTTATAAAATAGAATTTATGCTACAGTTTTTTTATTTTTTAATAAAATTATCGTAATATTATGCAAATTATAATTAAAAAGTGAGGTATAATAATTTACTGTATAAACAGGTGCCACTATAAACTTCTTTTTAAATTTTATTTTAATACTGATTAATAAATAACAAGTTGGAAAATAACATTTTTTGTATCACTAAGTACATACATTGATATATTCTGTTATAAATTTTAATAATATGCGTAAATACAGTTCCAAGTTATTCTCGGAGTAATTTAAGTTATAAATGGACTTTTGGTAATTACAATTATTAGATTAATAGAGTTGTGAGTCTTAACTTTAATAAAGCATTCATTCAAATTATGAATTTATTTTTCTTTTTAAATTTATAACATTTATATAATTCAATATAAGTTAACATATTTACAATTTAAAAATCTGTTAGTAAAGACTCTTACTTTGTTATTAAATTTATAATTTAAAATAATATGTCTAAATTATTTTAATATGTACATTAAATTATATTCTTCCTGTCCAGTCACCACTTTCTAAATATTTCATATCCTATTATTGCAACGTAAAATTTAAAAGAATACTTTTATAAATAGTAATTTTCATAAAATAAGTAATTTAATTCTATGCAATGCAGTGCTCTCTTAGTTTGTTTAGTTTCAATTGTAAATAATTAAGTTCTGTCTGCAAAGGTTTACAAAAATCTTTACTTTTTAAGAGAACACTAGAAGCTGTATTTAATAATACTGGATTAATGGAACTTGGGGATGGAATGTCTAGAAAAATAGAACTAACTATGCTACTATCACCATATCCTTCGTCAATACTTTCTTCTGAAGTTTTTGTCAATGCCTTCAATTGGTCTTTTAAATCCTGAAAAAAATTGTTTAACATTGTACACTACTTGAAAACAATAATCTATATATGTATAATTATATTATGAGCATTACTTTATTTCTCAGTAGAACCTGTTTTAGACACTCGTGTAAAGAAAGTTCTGTTTTAGTTTTCTAAAACAAAATGGTAATACAATTATTACAAATACTTTTGCATTGAAACAAATTATGAAGTAATATCTATTACCATATTATCTAATTGTTCATTTATTTCTACACCATATAATTTATTTTCCAAACTTTTAACTTTACGTTTTTCCTGACGAAGTTTCCTAATAAGCGCACTATTGGCTTCATATGATAATGCTTTTAAGCGCTTATTTTCTTCTATTACATCTTGCATTGAATTCAATTTTACTTCTGCATCTACATTTTTCGATTTTAGAAGCTTATACTGTGTAATCATTTTTGTTAATTGGAATCGTACCTGGAAGATTGCATCTTCTATCTGACTTTGTTCCTGTTTGGAAGAAAGTAGAGTAGTCTGCAATGCATCATTTTCAGATTTCAACTTTTGAATTTCAAATTCAGTCTTACGTAATGTGTCAGCAGTTTGATTTTTATCGGTTTCACATTTTTGTATATTTTCTTTCATAGTTGTAATTAATATACGCTGTTTACTCAAAGCATTTTCCATCAACATTTTAGATACTTCATTACCTAAAAGACGTTTTTCTACAGTCTTTAATACTGCTTTTGTATCTCGTAGTTCATCCTCTGTCAACTCTAACTTTGTAGATATATCTGGAGGAGTACACAATGCATTGTTATCTATAGTTTCCTTGATATTATTTGAATGATTTTGTATCTTGAAGCTCCGCACTTCATATTCCAAATCTTGTTTTTCTTTTTGATGTTTTTTAAGAAGCTCAGTGTAATCTACGTTTAATTGCTTATACCTTGCATTTATGTTTACTATAGCTTGTTGCCTTTGCTGCAATATTCCTTGATAAGTGTTAATCTCTAATTGTAAAGTTTTTTTGCTTGCCTGCAAGCCATGCATTTGAGATTGATACCATCTTGCAGATGTTTCAGCTGATTCTAAACGATTATTTGTATCAGTTAGAATATTCTGTAATTTTTGCTTTTCCTGAAGCACTACTTGCATTTCTACATATAACTCTGTAATTTTTCCTTTAAGACATTCATTTGCTGCAATTCTAGCATTAAGTTCTATATGTAAATTTTCCATATCCACTCTAAGTCGTTCATTTTCTAATTCCAACAATGCAACTCGTTTTGATAATTCTGTATTAGAAACATCAGGTGTTGATAAATGCCTAATACGAAATTCATCAGTAATTAACTGTAAAGAATCTGTTGAGGTAATAGAATCTATATCCCCCTTAAATGAGTCAGACAGGTTGTCCATTATGTCGAATTATTTGACAATGTAACGTTTAATTAACACATGTGCGTAAAATTTTCCCTTATTAAATGCAGCATGTTCTTAGTAATTATATATAAGTAATTACAAACGTATAATGTTAAAAAGTATTACTTAATAATACTTGGTACCAATTTTAGACATTCCCTTTTCATTTTTTATGAAATGCATTCAGTATACATACTGCATTTCTGAAGATCACATCAAACGAATACAGAGTAAAATCGTGATAAGCATATGTTACGCACACGCAAAGTGCAGCAAAGGGAACTGCTTATACGTCACTTATTGTATATACACATATTCACTGTATATTCGCTTAAGAATATCAGTCATATCAGTGCATGTTAATTTATAAACATACGCGTGCAGATGCGTGCAGTTAGTGCAGATCACGGATTACTAAATAGGTCGAGATGGGTAGAGTCTACCCGGTAGACTACTGAAGTAACTTCAATCAGTCAGTGATCGAACTCTATACTCTCTATTGGACCATGATCGATACTCACTCCATTTGATACGACACGATACGAGTACTTTTGTTCGATGCAGTTCGATGCCTACTTGGTACTTGGTACCGCAACCGCAGGTATCGATACCAAAAGTACTCGGTATCGAAACAAAAGTATCGAGTAATGTACTCGTATTTACTTGTACGAGTCATCCCTAGTGGTACCCGTGGTACCTACGGTACCTACTTCGTGTTGTTTGTTGCTTCGTGTGTCACTCTTGATCTTGATTACGGTGTGATGACAAATGAGATTCAAATTAGTTAAAGTCAAAGTTGAAAGAGGTAAACAATGTTTATTCACTACACGTTTTTCTTTTATGGCTTGGAAAAATGAAGTGACCTTTTTTAGCAAACGTATTTGTTTCAATAGTTAGATGGGTTTTCACTTTTTCTGCTTAATTATTTGACATTATATCATTGAATAAAAGTTAGAGCTTTAAAGTAAGAAATTTTTTAAATTAAAGAAGGTTAGTTAAATCTTTTTTTTTATTTAAGCAATAATTAAAATGCTTTTTATGTCTTATGAGCTTATAATGTAAAAACAATTTTTTTTATATTAGCGACAGCAACTTGTTTAATTATGTTTCAGAGATTTGTCATCTTATCTGGAAGAAAGAAAATTTACGTATTAACATGTTAGAGGAAGGATTTACTACCATTGTGTTACAGACATTGTCTACCATGATATTTTTCGTAGTTACATTAAATTTCTTCAGATATCTTATAGGAGAACCTCATATTCACATTAGAGATGTTACCAAACAGCACAGTTGGAAGTCGGCTAAAAACGAGACTAAGGTATTTATTTATTAATGATATTGATCATACTTTGTCTTTGACATGTACAGTTTATTATCAGCAACTTTTGCTGTATTAAACATATTAAATGCTGTGCTTAGTTACTTTTAAGCACTTGTAACAATTAGGTAGAAAAATTAACTTTTCAAAGGAAGATTTATACATAATGCTTTTAACCTCATGCATCATAAAATATAAATAATAAAATTACTATAAATTTATTACAATAAATTCTGTCATATATCTATGAGTGTGTATTCTATTAATCTTATTACGCATTTGTAATGCATATTCATAAATCTTTTGGTACAGACATATCATTGTAGTATATGTGAAGCTTTGTTATTAAATACTGAAGGATTGATTTGTGATTCATGTGGTGTTTGTGTGGATCGTTCTTGTGTCAAGATTGCAGACAAACAATTAAAGTGTAAAGTTATTAGTTTAAGCACAAATGAGTCAATGAAGCATCATTGGGTAAAGGGTACGTTCTGTTTTGTTATTTTTTATATAATATAAAATATTTAGTAATCAAAATATACATTTAATCCTCTAAGATATAGTTATAGTACATATTACAGTTGAGCGCGTTCTTCTTTTCTAAGGTAATTTACCACTGACCGCTGTGTGTGACATATGTAACGAGGAATGTGGTATGGAACCTGGTCTAACAGATTGGTGGTGTTGCTGGTGTCAAAGATGTGTTCATGAAGATTGTAAACGAAATCTCTCTGAAGTATATTCTATATATTTCCATAGTTTATGTTAATGTATCTAAGTAATTTGGACTACTGTCTCTACAGATATGTGATTTTGGTCAATTTAAATTGATGATAATTCCACCAAGTAGTTTAGAAGTTGTAAATCAACGTAGTACTGTAAGACGTAGATTACAACTTCGTACAGTTATACCACCAAATTGGCCACTTTGGAAACCTCTTATAGTAGTTGGTAGGTTAATATTAAATAATAAAAAAAGAGTAACATAATGATATTGCGGATATTTGCAAAAATATTTTAAATAATTACAGTGTGACTTATGGAATTTTATTTTAGCAAACAAAAAATCTGGTAATAAAGATGGAGCAGAAATCTTATCTATGTTTAGAAGGCTATTGAATCCTGCTCAAGTTGTTGATTTGTCTGAGCGTGATCCAGTTGCTGCTCTTGAGTGGTGTCGTTTAATAGGGAAAATAAAATGCACTGTCCTTGTAGCAGGTGGAGATGGCACAATAGCTTGGTTATTAAATACTATTCATAAACTTAAATTGGAGGTAATACATGTACTTGTACAAAAGGTGTCTTGTATTTGGCGTTACAACATTAAAATTTAAACTCAGTTATCTTGAAAACTAAGTGAGATACGGATAAAATTTTATTCCATATTTTCATCTTATCTTTTTACGTAGAATCATCAGTTGTACTACCAGTTATGGAATACCTTAGTGGATAATCTGAGCTTTATTTATTTTGTCTTGTCTTATGTTCAAATGTTTATACTATTCACATTTGTTTAAAGAATGGTAGCATTTTAATTTTAAAATCGGTGGTTTGATAAATAAACATTAATCATACATATAAGTTTAAATAAAATGTTTTCTTATTTGTACTAGCCAGTTCCATCTGTGGCAATTATTCCTCTGGGAACAGGAAATGATTTATCCAGAGTATTAGGATGGGGAAAGGAATATGATTTACATAGGGACCCTGCAGATATATTGCAAGAAGTACAAATAGCACAAGAAACAAAGCTTGATAGGTGCATAGAAAATATTAAATGTGTATAAATATTAGTATAATATTATGTATATATTTACATTTATGTTAGTAATTTATTAGGTGGAGTGTGGTAGTGAAACCATATGGTGGATTGGGACTTCGTAGTTCACATCAGAAACTTTATATGTATAATTATATAAGTGTAGGAGTGGATGCACAAGTAACATTACAATTTCATCGTACAAGAGAAAGTCGATTTTACTTTTACAGTAATAGATTATTCAATAAGGTGATGTATTTTGTTTAATATTTATTTTGTAACTTCTGTAAAGAACTCGTAATTTTATGTGTTTAACAGCTTCTGTACTTATGTTTTGGTACTCAACAAGTAGTGGAAAGGGAATGCAAAGACCTTGATAAACATCTAGAAGTGTATTTGGATGATGTGAAAGTGGATTTACCTTCTATCGAGGGTATCGTGATATTAAATATTTCTTCTTGGGGTGCCGGCGTTAATCTTTGGAATATAGGTTTAGGAGGTATGCATATTTTTTTTTTGCCACACGAAAATTAGATATTTTAACGAAATAGCCAGTACATCAATCATTTCTTACTCTTTCTTGTCCAACAGATCATGAAGGGTATGGAAAGCAAAGTATTAATGACGAAAAATTAGAAGTTGTTGCTCTTTATTCTTCATTCCATATGGCCCAGCTTCAAGTAGGACTTTCTCAGGCTTATCGACTCGGTCAAGCTACGTCTATCAAGGTACTGTGCACGTTATTCTAAATATTTTTTCCATTGGTAGCTATTTTGCGGAATATTTCTAATATTTGTTGCAATAAATAATAAGTTACAGTAGAAGCTCGTTTATTATAGCGTTCGGGGCTTTTGTAGGCTAAATTTCTAGAAATAAGTACCGCATTAAGCGAATTCTAATTACTCGCGCGCTCTCCTCACCAATCGTTCGTTCATTTGTTGACGTAGTTATACATATATAGAGTGGGCTGGTGGATGTATGAACTTTTTGATCACCTTACTAACTCTGTTATTTTTAGACACATCAAAAAAGTTTATTCTTAAAAGTTATTGAGTATTGAAACATTTTATTAAAACAATATTATATAAACGCACTTTCTGTGATGAATAATATGTGAGTTAAACGTGACATTGCGTATGTATTCCGTTCCTTCTGAACGAGGGGCGTTCCAATGCTGCAATAAAATAGTCCATAATAAACAAGCTTCCACTGTGTACAGTTTTAAAACAGAATTGAATGTATTTAATTTTAAAGAAACATAGGAAATAATTTATGTTAATATTATCCTTGTGATATGTGTGTAATAAATAAATAAATACTTTGTAACGTGTAGGTGAAGTTACTAAAACCTTATGCCATGCAAATTGATGGAGAACCATGGTATCAACAACCATGTGAATTTAATATTACATATTGTGACAAAGCATCCATGCTGACGAATATCGTTAATTAGATAAATTAAATTCAATTTTTGGATTTATAAGACCGTATGTATGTGCATTCCAATGTTTGATTTAATATGGTAAGAAATTTAGTATGTCTTGTTGATAAAAGAAGAATGTAGGTTAATATTGTGAAGATTATTATTCGTTGTGAACAACGACAAATCTAGGCAATATTCTGGGTAAATATACGATCTGTAAATGATACTTCGAATAAATGAAATGTAATTAAAAATGTTGTTTATATTCATTATATGTATCTTTTTGCTAAGTATGTATGGGCGACTAGCCAGGGTGTGATTGTGTGATGTTAATTGTGTTGCAGTCAAATATCTCCTATTTAGTTTATGAAAGTTATTAAATATTTCTTATATTATAAAATAATGAGGTGATAATGAAATACAATAGACAGGGTAGCTTCGTTTCATCACGTTTATGACATCTTGTAGCATGTAGCTGTTCTGTGAAGGAGTACTTTGAATTATCGTAATTATCGTAATGTAGGTCAATGAATTTGTCTCAAAATGGGCTATACGGTTAGCTAAACGAAAATATATAGTTCCAATAAAAAAAAAACAAAGGACACTGTAAAATCTTGGATGCACCTCATTCTAGACAATATTTGTGTACACATATAATCATAAGATATCCCCTTCAAAACAGTAAGTTCTGTTTGAAACATTTGTTCGAATAACGAATAGTTTAGGAGATAATTGCATTTATAGATTAAAATGAAATCCATACTTTATAAAAAATAATAGAGTCCTTACTCTATTTTCAATGGCAACTTTAACACAGGAAAAAGATTTCCGTTAAATTTTTTCTTAAAATAAAATTATAAAAATGTGATGTATGTACGATATAATATGTAGATACATAGTTGTAATACAAATAGCTGAAGTATTTACGATGTGAAAACTGCTGTATGTAAATTTCATGAGAAGCTATCGCATTGTTTGAAGACCTCGATTGAATAATCTACTATAAGTTTCATATATCGATTGTTCGTAGGATATGAGTGAAATTATCTAAATTATGTCTGTAATCGTAACATTGGATTTCGAAAAATTGTCTGGTTATGACGGAACGTCAAGTGAATTTTCTTGCTATATTAATGACAATTTGGTTGTTGCACGAAACCGCTAGAATTATGAATGACATGAAATGAACCAAGGTAGAATAATCTTTTGAAATTCATGTTTTATTGAACACGTTTAAAAGCGGACGAAGTATCTGCATAACTTCTTGAAAAAATAAATAATAATAATAATATACAATTGTCGTATATAACTAAAATTCTGTTCAATATTACACATGTCCATTTGTGTTTGAATTCTAGTAAAACGCTGATCGATGAATTGGTTGGAGTGCCATATAAAGTGCCATATACAAAAATCTAAATTGTAATTATATTGTAATTTTGATTGTAAATTTAGTATAGTTAATTACAATGTAATTGTCTTGCAATTACATTGCAATTATGTACATTGTAATTGTGATTTGGAGTTTGTAATTAGATTACATTTTGCCCAACTGTGATACACAGTTACTTTACAGTATTCGCTCATCCCAGACGTATAACACATTTTACATATTTAATCAAAACGATGAAATTAAAAATATTAATTATATGTAGTATATACGGTTAATAGATATTATATTGGCATGCAATCAACGGAGAAGTTATCCAGAGGTTACCTAAAAAATTATTGTTTTTGGTAGAAGAAGTAAAAATAAGCGCACAGAAATATGTGTCCGTTCGAAATCAATATTTATTTTAAACAAACTTATTTAAAATAAATTAATACTTCGTCGGATCACACGGAGACCATAACGTAAGTTTTAATTTGTTACGCATAGATTGAACTGTTTGGTTTTTTTTTGTGAAATTTGGTATGTGCGTTTTCTACTGTTCTCAGAAATGACAATACTGTTTAAAGTTAAAGATGCTAAACCTAATCTGAAGTGTATGAATCAAGGTTTATACTAACATAAATTATAATTGTTAATTTTTACTTTAATTAAACGACTAAACTAAAATATGCCATATGCATGAAATGGGCGGAATTCTGCGAGTAACTATAATCCAGATAGCACATGACGCCTTGAAGACGCCTATTTTACGGCTATGTTAGGTCTGACGCGCCTTTAAGCCGTCTTAAGTCGTCTGTGTGCTATCTGGGAAGTATTGTAATACAACTGCAATGTGACATGGCAAACATATCGGTGTTATTAAGTATCTCAGAGAGTTCAGAAAGATTCTTTCTTGAAGTGGAAACCAAACTGATCGCATTTGTAACGTAAAATTTTCGCCAGTTCCGGCGGGCCGCAGTAAAATACCGTCACTTTCCCCTTTTTCCTGTCCTGGAGCTGTTTAAAAACCTTATCCCAGTTCGGTCGGCCAGCGTTTGTCCTTGTTTTTAAACCCGTTATGAGATCTCGCTTTTCCTGAAAAATTAAAACATTTATTTTATCTTCACGTCCCATTCATATCGATTAATTCCTTTTACAACTGCGTAAGTTGCGGTGATAGTAGACATCTATGTACATGTATTCAAAGCTTTTACAACTTGCGTTAGTTGTAAAAGTATACATTAAAAGTTTTCTTGTTTAGATAAAATAGTGCCTTGTTAGCATTACACAATATCAGTTAGTCTGGAATTCTCATTTCACCGGGACTTTCTTTTGAATCATTAATTTTATTGAAAAATGTGTTAAACATTTGACTCAACGAACGATTTTATAATGTAGTAGAGACTTTGATAAGCATCCCAGAAGATTCAGATTTTTTGAAAGGTTGAAACAGTATAAAAATAACGCTTGGACGTAAACGATCCAGTTTGTCTACGGAGTATGAAGGGATATGTTTGCCTGTCTGCGGGTTAAATTTAAATCGATAACGTATTTCATGAAAAAATGCGATTTTATAAAGAACGTCATTCGAATAATATATAAAAAGTTCTTTAGTATTGATATCGAACCATTTGATGGAGCAACTCCATAGCTAGCTGTAGACCAACAGCCTTCATATCATTTTTCTGCAATGCGCTAGTAATGTACATGTGCATCTCGAGGAAACGTTCCATAGTTACGCCAAGCTCTGCTTGTTCCATTTCCAATTGAGACAGTAAGTTCACGAACCACTCGAACGATCTCTGATCTCTGTTGATCCAGAAGAAATCTACCTGTAAATGAAACGTTTTAGTTGTTTTGAGCCTCAAAGCAAATTTTGAGATGTCGTTTAAAACAAAAGAAAAAAGCTTACGGAAAGTTTAGCAGTGGCTAAAATTTGAAAATGAAAACTTGCAAATTTGATTATACATATTTTATATAAATAATATTGAAATTCTGGTTATGCGTTTAAGGTAAATAATTTATTTCTGTATTTATATTGCCTCGAAACTTTTGCTCGCTACTGTACTTCGTTCTACACGAATTTAATGTTTAGAGCAGATAAAGAGGAGGAGAAAGTGTTATTAGCGAAGAAATATTTGCCTTTCGTAGATACATGACAGTGGACGGAATCTCGCTAGCCCAGGAGAATTTGCATTTTGGGCAAGTGTGCCTGGCTTTCCAATAACGGTGCATTATGGACTGTAATATCGATGCGAAAGGTGTGACTCCGATTCCGGTTGCAATTAAGACCGCGTGTTGCGCTTGGAATATATGACTCGAAGGAGCGCCGTATGGACCATCCAAAAAGATCTAAACGATTAATCAAGTTTTAATTTTTGTGTGACTTATCATTCGATAAACAATATGTATTTTTTAGACGTAATATAAAATGGTATTTTACTATTAACATCTTGAAATAACTTGATTTTAATAACTTATTAAATTTTAGATGCATTTTTTTTTTAATTTTCATTTTTTACTTGATGAAGAGTAAATGGTTACAGAGAGCAAGTACTCATAACTTTCTTTAGTTAATATTTACGTTATTGCCCAGATAGCATATGTCGTCCAATGACGCCTTGAAGACGGCTTAAAGGCGCCTTAGACCTAAAATAGCCGTAACATGGGCGTCTTCGAGGCGTCATGTGCTATCTGGGTGCATATAACGTGATTATAAACTACTTTATTGTTTTTCTTAAAATATCTGTGTATAAGAAATAGGTACTTCGTCTCGAATTTACAATTAAAATTCTTTGTAATAATTATATAATTAAAGCAAATATTCACCTCTAATGGTTTTCCTAAATAATTTATAGACGGCTGAGAAGAAACGTCTGATTTGATATCTTCTATGATTCTGTTTGACGTTTCTTCTAATTTTGTCTGTAATCTACCTTCTTCCGCTGCTGCTTGCATCGTGATTAAGTTGGTCGACACATTTCTGAACTCGTTTACAGGTATTTGTGACATTGCTGTTTTATTAAGTAAATCGGGAGGAATATTATACGTTTCATTTAACAAAATGCATTAGAAAATGAACAATTTCTTCGGCTTACTCTCGTTGTTCGTGGATGTTTCTATTTTGTATTCGTGTCGTTCCAAACTTGGTGTCTTGAATGCAATTATAGTAGGTTTCGATCTCATGTACCGAAAACTATGAGCTATGTTCCTGTTTTGTGGGCTTAAATAAGCCTGTTCTAATGATTTCAGTCGTGCACATTGCATTTGCCTTTCGTTGAAGTTCCTTTCAGATTCGGATCTCATGTAATCTCGAAGTCTGTCAGAGAAAGAAAATAATGACCGTGACGAAGAATGATAAATATGTATAAGACAATGTGTTTCATGGAAACTATTAGAATTTCTTTCAATTTGCAGTATTTGATCGATGATTGTACCTCTATTGTTTGAATAATAATTAGTAAGACTATTGGATTATTATTAAACAATAAAAGCAGCTTATGAATAATAGGAACCAAATTTATCTTTGGGCTCAAATATATTTCATATATAATAGCTTTCATGTAGAGTATGTACTATTTAATTTTACCTATGATCAACATCTGAGACATTTCATTATTTCTTTTCCAATAACGAGGTCTATAATATTTCAAAAGTTTGCAATAACAATTGTTCTTATTTCAAAGAACTATTTTCAATAACAAGAGCAAGAAAATATCCATTTTATTGTAGCAAAAAATATATAAGAAATGGTGCATGTATTAACGATTAAAAATACCAATTAAAATAGTCAAAGAAAATATATAGATAACTTACGCCATGAGCCGGTCCCTCTTGTTCCTTCGTGTTTGCATGTCAGGTACAGAGAAAGACTTTTCTAAAGGTATTTTGCTACCCAGCAATAAACGATGAAGTTTTCCTTCCTTAGAAACTTTACTACTATCTGCTACACATATGTTATATCAATGTTATTAATCATATTCCTTATATAACTGTCATTCAGATGAATTTTGGCATGAAGAAATCAATGTGTATATACAATTTGAACGTTAGTGTATATTCTTCGTGAAGATAATAATATAATTAATTATAAAAATTGCAATATAAACCGCCTCGGTGAAATATATAGTTGAAAAAGGTTTTACATATAAAAGAGCAGTGTTATTTTTTTAAGGAAAAGTATTGGGAAAAAAATTGAATGACATACTGGAAGTACTGTGCGGCGACAGAGTTACGCTATCACCGTCGAGAGCAAAAGCAGGATTATCGAGTCCATGATGATTCTCTGCCTTCGGTGGCGATGGCGATGACATTGTTATGTTTGGAACCAAATCTTGTTTCTTGTTGGGGTACCTGTAACACAAAAATGTATTCAATAGTTAAAAAAATAATTGTTTACCTTTAAAGTACAGACTGGGCAAAAACAAATATTATTTCGCCTGAGACATACATATTCATAGAAACATTCTTGTTATTGCATTCTTCCATTGGAAAGATTTTGCCACCTTGAATTTTCACTTGTTCTTTCTCGAAGTACGAGTAAAGACTGTTCGTCCATTCGCCGACTGCTCGGATATGAAGCCATATGTAATCTACGAAAGGTGGAGGTGTTTTTCATTATACATATACTAATGGTACAACCCGATAGGGGGTGAAATAGAATACAATTTTTTCGTCTGACGCTTTGTTTTCAATCGAATTTGAAGACTTATTTAATACGTATTTTTAGGATTATCAGTATTAATTAATGAAGGGCATGGATATTCTTAAATGTTATTTTCTTAAATATCAATAATCTTAATAAAATCTGTACCTTTCGTTAATTAATAGAGAAACTACCGAACCACTTAATCTTTAAAGAATTATTACATACATATGTATGTACGTATGTATTAATACATACATATGTATGTATTCGTACTGAAATAAGTAGAAACGGAATGTAAATAACAGACGCATTAGCAAACGTTCTATTCAATTGCACGTGGATCAGCAGACTCCCAAATTTTAATTCTATATTTTTTTTACTTATTTTTGCATGTAGAATCACCTTCTTCCACTACCAAGAACAATCTGTGTAATATAAGAAGAGGCAGCCTGTCTGTACAAATAAAGTTTGTCAACAAATTTCGATATTAATGGATACTTTAAATATTAATTAAAGAAAATCTAACAGATCTATTGCAGTGAATCTGTTACATAGATCCTGTTAGGTAAAGTGTTAATGTCAGTGTATAGATTGATTAATGCAATTTAATCCTGATATGGTAGAAAAATGTTTTTCGTAGTACTGAAAGTAATTTTCGGTTTAGCACTTTATTGAAACTATATTGAACCTCGAAGCAAAACAAAATAATGTAATTTAAAATGCATGGGAATTCTCCATATTAACTAATAAGCACCTATCATTCAGCTGTGCAATTTTCGAAACAATAAAATGCAGGCACCTGTTTGTGTTAAATGCACAATATTCCATTTCATTGACATGTATCCACGTTAATAAATAGTATTAGCAATATTAATAGTATTGGTAATTTCTTTGACAATTAATTTAGAGCTTATTTTCTTATTTCTGCGTCTTACATTTCCCGTATTCAGCACTAAAATAGTACAATTTTAAAGAAAACATCTTTACAGAGCTGTGTTTACGTGAAGGTTTAATTACAAATTTATTTACATATATTCGTTGTGTCGATCATGAATAAATTATCTAACCTTCTTGTTCTGGTGCGCTGCTGATAGTGAAGGGGTGCCATTCGTATCGAGCAATGGCGGGTATATTTACGAAAACATAATCGCCAGGATGGAAATCAAAATGAAGCGGTCGTTTAATGACTAAATGCGTCACTTTTGAAGGCAGTAGGAGACCAGAACTGATATATGTTTTTCCAAGTTGGGATCGTGACCAAGCGATTCGTTGTACTCGTTCTATCAGGTATACTGTACCTGGCCCGATGAACCATTTCCAAAAATTCGGTCCGTGAAGAACCATTAATACCCAAAACGGTATGTACAGTAAATGTGACCAATAAAATATCTGTAGAGTAAAAAATAAGTATAATTTCAGTATAAAGAATACCCATGTTCGTCAAACAGTAATTTTCTTTTGAACGGATGAACAGCGTAGAAGAGTACTTGCAGAAAACACTGTAAACACTAAAAATCAAAATTTTCAAGAGGAAAAAAAATGTCTCACTATAAATTATTTACAATATTTGATTCGTTTTTATTATTATGTAGAATACAATAATCCAAATGCATCGCAAAATTTTCTATTTTTCACATTAGTGTAATCTCAAATCAATATGTTAATCCTTTAAACTTGCAAGTATTGTAAGTGTCAATCCTGTTTGTTTCTAGAATACTTGTATAGAAATTCTCGACAGAGGCAACGTTGGACTATTTGCAAAGGGAAATTTGACTTACATTGTATACTACAGTATTCCCATTGGTGCGTAGAACACTTTTCGATAAAAAAAATTTTTTTTACTTTTGGCATTTACAGTGTTTTTACAAGAACTCTTCAATTATTCTTCCTAATCTTGGGATGTTAGTTATAGAAATCGATCATCGGTTATAGTGGTTATAGTGTCTACATTAAAAACAATATATTCAGGCAATTATGCGTTGTAAGTATTAAAAAAAGTCAATTTTATTTTTGACGTAATCTAGAGGGTTATTCTACGCCAAGTCGAACACATTCTGCATTCGCTATTTGGGATTTTATTCAAAATGAAATATGTTGTAGTCCACGTGAAATTAGGGGGATTTGAAGTCATCGTTTGATTTTCTCTTCCCTGCTTCACGAAAATAGGCAAAAATCGTAAACTTCGGCGGTCTGCATTTTTTTTAACACTAAACCTACCGACATTTCATGTATACCTAATCCTACCATGAGCGGTCAAATGACCGCTTCAAAAAAACATATGTATCTTAATATAGAAAGAGATTTTAGCAAATTTTTTTCGGAAAGCAAACAATAAAGAAAGTTGTGAATATTGAAAAATGGGTTGTATGTATATTATAGGAAAAGTCAATAAGCTACATGGTGATACAGTAACGTTGTATACGAGAAATTCTAAACGAAATTTCAAAAACGGTCATTTGACCGCGCATGGTAGGTTTAGTGTTAAACAATTTCAGGAACAGAACAATGATGACTTAAACCCTCCATAATTTCACGTGGACTATGACATATTTCATTTTGAACAAAATCCCTGATAGCGAGTGCAAAATGTGATCAATTTGGCGTGCAATGACACAGAAAGAAATTTGTATTAGATGGTTTCCTTTTTAAATGCTATGTTAAAAGGATTAAGGAAAAAAGTACGAATACGATATCAATACAACTAACAATAAGTGAAAGAATTCATGCCACCTCAAAACATCCACCACGACGGACAAACGGCATCGAGCATAACGTCATTATAACAAGAAGAACAACGAGAATGATTCCGGTTGGGTTTGCATAGCCGTGTACGAGACCATAGAGTCCTGGACGGCTTGTCATTAGCCATTCGTACGTAGTATAATTATTATGATTGAGCATATCATCGTATACCACGATCGTACCTGCAAATTTACGACCGTTTTATATTTCTAAAACATGGTTTCTTCCTCGTTAAATGTTGATAAACGATGAATTTTTGTCAGTTTTTAGTACATATTGTATGATTTGTATTTCTAAAAGAATACTTAATAATTATGACACTACATTATCTACAGTGAAAGTCAAAGCTAAATATATACCTTGCAAAGGTGAGGTTCATGTAAAAAAAATGTTAAAAGTATTAAATATTGCAATTAACGCTACTAAAATGTAAAGTGAGATAATCTACGTGGTAACTAGGACATGATGTTATCTTCATTCAGAAGTACATATGTATAAGACACTAAATAAATATCTTTTTCATGAGGTTTCACGTGAAAAAAATGGATCCCTTTAGAGTTTAGAGGATTAAAAGTTATACATTTAATTAATGATATATTTATAGTAGTGACGTACCGAAGTTCAGAAGGTGCATCACTGTGTGTAATACACCGAAAGTACCAATTAGGACCCCAGTTATCTTGTGAAGGTAAATGTGCTGGTCCAATGGAAGCACAGAATTGAAGCCATGAGTTCGTAGAAAGGTAATACACTGACGTAACATGAGAACTAGGATAAAGCTGCAGTTGAAATTCAGACACTGACCTGCATTGAAATATTTACTGTAATTAAAGTGATACTAATCTATTGAGCTTAATTTCATAGTAGATGTACAGTCCCGGGCCAAAAAATTAGGGCAACATATAATTTTTAAAATTTTTTCGCGATAATCGTAGAATTAAAAGACCAGAGCGTAATTTAATAATAATTTGTATTAACTACTACAGTACGTACGTATATGTACATTACATATATACAAATTAATAATTTATATATTATTGTATGTAATGTCTTATTTTTTTCTTTTACTTTTACGAGTTTATTTTCCAGCCAACTTTTTCGACATGAATATAGGGTGAATGCACCAATAAATGAACACGTACCAGTGAACGAACATTATATAGAAAAACGAATGAATTAAGTTATTAATTATTAAGTAATTAAGTTATTACTGCACATGCTCGAAAGGATTAACATATTTATAACATAAAAAGTGTATTAATTATTTCTTACCGCAAGCACGAGCCAGCATGACGTAGCCGTTTGATTGTCTATACGCGTAAAGTCTTGAGATAAATAACGTTGCATTAATCAAGATAAAGGTGTAGATGAAAGCAAGGTAAACATAATTATTCTTCATGTACGGTGTCGTCAATTGATAGGGCCGTAACGACGCGCAGAATCCCAAGAACGATTTCCGCTTCGCTTTCGGTTTCGGCGGCACGAGCCATCGGTCGATACTGTGATTTAATTTCTGTTTTTAATTATTTTCTCCTTCAATTGACTCGATACGGTAGAAAACGGCGCGTTCTACAAGAATTTCGAAACAATGATTTGTTCACCTAATCGAAAGATTTTCCAGCAGTCCCCCGTGTTTCTTTAATTGGCTTTTAAGAGCCTCGTAGGTAATTGCTCCTCGATTCACTTGATCAGCGTCCTCGAATAATGCGACCGTTAGTTCCTTGATTTGTTCCTCGCTAAATTCCATTCCATTCTCCTCCATGCACGCTCTCATAACGTGTTCGAGTTCACGAAGCTGTATTAGCCCGTCACCTTATTATAAATGATTGTTTTAATGCTATCGTTTATTAAGGGGTTAGACACCATCTCGACGTGTTAAAAAAATACCGTATTTTTACCATGTTTTTATTAACTCGCTTTCTTGTCTGTCTGTTTGTTTGTTCGGTACAAATTTTGCAATTGATTTTGAACTAACTTCTCGATGAGTTAAAGACTTCACACTTTAAACATAGCTCAGAACTGGATGACAATGCAATATTAACTCGCTTTCTTGTCTGTCTGTTCGTTAGGGTTCCGTATGGAATCCTATTACTAAGTTCATGCTATCTGTCCGTCCATCCGTCTGTCCTACCTTTAAAAGGCTGTATCTTTTGAACCGTAAGGTTCAATCCGGATTAGGAATCTCGATTAGGAATCTGTGTTAGTAATCAGGATTATAAGTCTGGATAGAAATAATAATAAAATATTTGCTAATGCGTGGAAAAGGCCTCTTTGAAAAATTTGTTTTTATTATTTTTTCGCGATAATATTTTAGTGGGCTTTAACTGAAAAGAATAGAAAATAAACAAGACTAAAAAGCAGAAAATAATTATTTAAATAAAACAAAATTTTTAATATACCACGTTTTTAAGACGGACTAAAAAGTATAAAATAATTTTTCCTAGCCCCATACAGATAGTCCTCAAAATTTGTGATTATGAATTTTTAATAGCTATGAAAATACTTGTAAGATTTCAAACGAAAAACGTGGGGCGCAAGATAATAGTAAGGAGTGTAGAGAGTAGTTGTCGTTGAGAAAACACACACAACAGTTCATATGATTTGCATTGTAATAAAATTGTTAGTGACTTAGGTGAACTATTCATGCATCAATTATCTATTGCATGCGTCCCACGTTTTTCGTTTTAAATCTTACAAGTATTTTCATAGCTATTAAAAATTCACAATTACAAATTTTCAGGACTATCTGTATGGGGCTAGGAGAAATTATTTTATACTTTCTAGTCCGTCTTAAAAACGTGGTATATTAAAAATTTTTTTTTATTTAAATAATTATTAGAAATTTACTTCTAAGTAACAGAAACACTTTCTTTCAATCCAAATGTTTTAATAAAGGCAGATACATGTATGAATTGTATGTACAAAATATTAAATATATGGAAAATTTAATATATAAAATATATAACTAATAAATATATATAAATTTTTTCTTTAGAAACAAAAATGCCGGTGGAACGATAGCCCTTTATTTATGTATAAATCAGATAAAACTTGAAATATCGGAAAAATTCTACGTCAGACGATAAACACCTTATATTTATTTAAGATTCCAGAGTTCGAATTTAGTTTCAGAAACCTGTTTTTCAGAAATCACTGAAAAATTTTGATTGAAAAGAGTTGAAAGAATTTCGTCACTTAAAAATAATTTCTAAAAAACACGGTATTTTTTTAACACATCAAGGTGGTTGTAACCCCTTTAATGTAGGTATTCTTCTTCGCTGTTATGCTAATATGTACTAGTTGGTTTGCTGTTGTAGACTAAACATTTTTTTTCTATTTAATCTCCGACGACATGATAATTGGGCAAAATTTAATTTAATTAATAGTTGTTATTTATGATTATAATGTAACTGCAAGTTCAGGTATGTAGTAGCTAATTTCTACTGATGTTAATGAAAAATTTGATTCCCGAACACCAGTTGCTGGATAATTATAATCGTGTAGTTGTTAATTACAAGTTCATGTTCATAATTATAATTAATAAAATCTGGAAATAATAATGGAATGCGATACAAAGAAAGATCGGTACTAGAATTACCTTCGTTTTGATCGAATTTCAGTTTACAGTTATAGAAATATAATAGGTATCTTACCGTCGATATCGTAAACCTTAAAAAGAAACTTGATTTTATCATCAGGAGTTTTCCCTGCAAACTGGTGCATTGCATCCAGAAACTCCTGAAGAGATATGGCTCCGGAATTGTCTTTGTCAAATATTTGAAAGGCTCTATCGGTGAAGAATGGCTAAAAGAGAAACGTTTTTGTTATATTCTGGATTTGACACTTACCTTAAGAACACCCTGTATACATTATGATATGATAAATAAAACTGAACACCATAAATCTGTTTGAATGTTCTAATATGTTTCAGAATCATTTGGATAATTTTTAACCACATGCATTACAAAGTGTTCATCAAGTACTATCAATTGTTTGGCATTTTTTGGCATTTTTGTGGCATTTTCTTTTTCTTTGTTTCACATAGAATATTTTCATTAAAGTTCAAAAAGAGAATGTAAAGAATTATTAGGTCGAAACAGTAATTACCAATTATGCAACTTAATGGTTTAAATGAAATATTATATAGGACACCATTATAATATTATATTGTATTGCATTATTACTATATTATGTAGAATATTATAATATAGGACGACAAAGTGTATACACGTTTGCTGATGGCTTACGTTTTTCGATGTGACGATTTTATTAAATTCTTCGCGTCTTATTTCTTTCTCGTTGCCGACCATTTGCTTGAAAATTTTCTCCAGCCATTCTAGACTAGTTTTATCGAAGCCGCCGAGTGGTCTGTAAAAGAATAAGCATTATTGACAATATTTCCATGAAACAATTAATAAGGAACAGTAAATCACCTTCTATCACTGACGCTGTCGATGAAATCTATAATTTGAGTGGACGACACATAGCCCACATTTTCTTCATCAATTAGACGAAATAATTTATCAACGACCTGTAACATAAATACTTGAGACGAGAAATGATTATGAAGACTAAGAAAAGAATAGCTTTAATAATATTTTCATAGAACTTTTATTTTTTTTTCATAGAAATCCCGCTTTATTGTTGACTTCTGTATTGTTGACTTACCTCTCTAGCAGCAAATATTCGTTGAAAGCTCGTAACATTTATAGGATCGTCGCCGCACACAGTATATACCACACTATCGAATTGATCAATGAAATCATGCTTTTTATTCCTGTTAATCGAACAAACTGATTTAATACCGTTGTTATTTTTAATGGAACGCTTCACAGTAAATTATATATTTCTTACGTTATTCTGCTTTTCACACATTCGATCCATTCATCTTGTTTCAATACCTTGTCATCATCCTGATCGAATAGCGCAAATAAGTTTTCCAATAATGTCTGAAATTTTGGACACGTATGACATGAAAAATTCTTGGTATAACGACATTTCTAGGTAAAGTTATCAATATTATTGTCACTCTTTTAAATTTTAAGTAACGAAATTGATTATGTTCATTAAGAAGTTTCTTTGTAATAAAATACAAAATTGTGTTTGAATTTTAATACAATTTTTTATATAATATTTCGTTATTCTTTTGATGATACACTTTCGGCCAAGTATTTAGAAACACTTCCGGATTTTGATTTCCGACATATTTTCAAAAGATATGTATTTATTAAATTTTCATTATGCTTCAGATTAAAACGTTGTAAAAACCGACCTTTACTATTTTCTTCGCGATTCCGACCAATTGCAACTTTTTCAAATTTTTTTTACACATTTAGTAAACTAATGATCCTAACTTCACAAAAGAACTTAAGTCAGTTGGACCAATTTTAAAAAAGTTGTTCCGTTTTAAATGGTATTCGAATACTTTTGTGACCAACTGTCTATGTTCGCGTAGCCGAACAACGGTGATTATTGAATGGATTCAGGGACGGGGACAGGGTCGCGGCCGCGATCGGGTTCGAATTCCGAGTATCGGCAACGCTCGAGGCGTCGAACGCTTTTTGGCCCCGGGCGATACGGCACCTTGATCGAAATCAGTGGCCGTCGATAGATCCCCTTGCCATTTGCTACGATCCCGTCGGGTATACATACATTTCCCTTAACTCATTCTCTATTCGATATTGATCTGACATTCTTGTCTTTTACTTTCAATGGAATAACGACCTTGTTTCGTTCCACGCCGTCTCCGACGTCTACGAGCTTTTTTCAATCTACAGGGATTTAACGTATCCTTCGGATTAGCCTGTGGTCCCCATTTACCCTTGTGTAGGCAATCGGGTACCTAGGTACCCATTTTTAAATTTCCTTTCACAATTTTTTATGTTCTTGTCTAAAACAGCACTTGGTATACTATTGGAAGGGAAAACTAACAGTTTCGGAAAAATATGAAAGTACAATTATCTACAGTAATGTCTCGATGAGTGCGACGTACCCTCGTTCGCTTCGGAAAGGTTTTCAGCCCCCGCCCCAATTTGTTTTTTATCCTAAGCCTATTTACTCTGTTTCGATTGATTCCAGAATAAAGTCGTTGCTCGTGTCGCATTCATCGAGGAATTACTGTATGTTTATCTAATCTGCCAGAATAGAAGTATTCCGATTGCTCAATAACCGTGAGTATTTTGATTGGCTACACAACGGTTAAAATTCGTTTAACGATCGACACATTATTGAAAGTGTTCTCTTATCGGATAGGTCGTTAAAATTCCAATTTAATTGCATGGAAAATGTATAACTTGGATTGAACGACTGTAACGTAATGATTGAAGTGCTTGTTTTGTTATTATATGTTGCTTGTCACGTAGCGCGTCATTTTGTTTCTGTGCTAATTGGACCAAGCTATGTAGAAAGTTACCAACCCTCAGTGATCTGAAATGCAGTGAATTTAGTTTGAGTGTTTTAATTTTAGAAAAGTAGCATTACTTTATACTTTACTTCTTGTTGTGGCTTTACAATGTTTTATAATTGTTTATTTAAGAGTGAGCAGTATAATTAATATTAATTGTTTTGTTAACAGAATTAGTATTTGTTGAATTTTAACATTGTCTAGACTATAGTACCTATTCATGGTTTCTTGGCTTTATTTCATATTCGACGAATATGTTAATCTTAGAAGTAGGTATGCAAACGATATGGCCGTGACATTTGGACTGGCACAATGATTTAGTTTTATTGTATCGATAGGGAATTCATATTTGCTGGAGAAGTAGCAAAATGTAGTACGAAATAGATGCAACTATTTCTAATAACAAATGCTATTTACCATTACCTTTTAACCATTACTTTTATATACACTTAATGTGTTAAGTGTATCAGTAAGTAATCCACTATTTCATAAATTGGTAATATAGTTTAAATTTAAAACAACTTTCCACCCTTCTCTTCTTTCAAAATCACGGCAATGACATTGTAGAACGAGGTCAAATATTACTGAAACAGCGTAGGCTTCTGATTTTTCGAAAATAAGTTATGAATTCGACAAAATATGGTGGCTTACTTGTAGGTACACCTAATGTATATGCCGTAAATTATTACGTGTAATAGTAAATCTTTTTAGCAGTCTCGGATTTCTTAATCCGCAGACACCTTTACGGCTCGTATACCGAGGAGTTTATTCACACGCATTACTTTAAAGTATAATAACTCGTTCCCCCTATTTGCTACTTTCACAATAAACTCGTTCTCCAAGGTTTCGGACGTTTTGGGAAAAGATTCGTCTCCATTTTAATTATTTCAGGGGCAACCCAAACTTGCTGATTAATAATAACGAAGGCAAAGAGAAGGATCGAAGGTTCCATGATTTAATGGACCGCGATCATTTCGAAAGAATTTTGTCGTTAATGGCACGCACCTGGTCTGAAAAAAGGCGCCTGAACGTATCCCTATTATATCGAGCGATGCCATTCACTCCGATTATTTGGGAACACTCTTCCAAGGTGGTTGCTCTCCTCCTTTCAATTAGACGTTTATCTTCTATCTGACTAACGTCACTCTCCATTTTATATCACCACTGCTCCTATTAAACACTGAAACTCTTCGATATCCGACAGAATTGTGCCACCCTGTATGTTTACGCGGGATTTGTTTTCATTCTGGGCTTCCCTCGGATTAGAAGTGAACGAACGGAATTCACCTCAGGTGATAAAATTATATTAATTTAATAATTTAAAATTTCTCCTACAAAGTTTTAACACGTTTTGAAACGAGTTAGAGGTGTTAATTGATTCGGTCAAATTTGATTGTTTCTCACAGGTCTGTCTATTTTAATGTTAACATTTCACGAATGCTTGCGAATAAAGTTGTCACTCACAATACAAATGTGTTCAAGTGGTTGATTTCATTTGAAATGTTTCGGGAACTTTTTCTTCGTTTTTCGAAACGAATAGAGATGACTGTGAAGACAATTCCGGAGGAAAACACACGTTCACCACTCGCCACGCGTTCACACTGGATTCGTCCGATGTCACCGCGTGCTACTAAATGAAAATCATCGATTCGCATCGAGGAATCGTGAGACGGACCCCTACCTCCCGCGGGTCCCTTTCGGTACCAATTTTTCAGAACACGATGTGCTCGGATCTTGAGTGAGAGAGAGGGATGCCTTTCGATTTTAATAAGCAACACGGATCAAGATCAAGATCAAAAGACAGACAGACGAACAAACAGACAACCTTTCACTTTTTCGTGAGTCACCTTTTTTCCTTCTCTTTCCTTCCTTTTTTTCTGTTTTTTTTAAAGACCCTTTACGTCTCCCTTCTCTCGCGCCGCTGTCTTCTAATGCGATGCTATTTTTACACGTACATTCCTGTTCATAAGTATTCCGCTACTTACAGAAATAACGAAACTTTTTAAAGTAAACTGTATACAATTTATGAGTTGAATTCATCCTAATCTACCCAGATAGCACATGATGCCTTGGAGACGCCCATTTTACGGCTATTTTAGGTTTAAGACGTCTTTAAGTCGTCTTCAAGGCGTCATTAGGCGTCATGTGTTATCTGAGTAATTCTGAAATTAACATTAATTAAAGATCATGGTATCAATTTTTACTTTAGCATGAATTATCCCAAATGTTTTGAATTTTCCCGAGTGTGCGCCGGATGTCCTTTCCAACAGCCTGAACATAGCTTCAAGTGCGTTCACCGCCTGGTTCGATCCATAGAGCCGGTGGAACATGCGCTTTCGATGATTTCAACCCAGTACGTTCACCTTCTCAGTGGCTTTTGCCCTCGAGTTCGCGGTTCCATTATTTACTCGGTACATCTCTCGACCATGAATGTGAAAAACATCTGAAAGTTCATTAGAAGACAAGACCGTTCCTTAAACGGTCGGTCATACAGGTGAAGCGATTTCGACCTGTGATTAGGACAGTCCACTGAAAAAACACTTCGCCTGTTCGGTTTTCAGAAAGGTTTGTATTCCCCCAATGTCTCCTGTTTTTAAATTCTATATTTCCGAGTTTAATTTTATACTTAATTACTTTTAACTTACAACTGTCTCTCGTTTCTGTATCACCCGATTTCAATGAAAGTTTCAGTATGTCTTATATAACTAACCAAAATCTTCGATATGTATTTATTAAATTTTCAATATAGCCTCGGATTGAAAAGTCGTAAAAAGCGATATTTATTATTTTCTTCGCGATTTCGATCAATTGCAACTATTTCCAATTGTTTTTTTAAATTCTCGAAATTCGAGTACTCGCACGCCTACTTCGAACATCTATTATAACGCAAGATTTATGGTTTACTCTTTTAATAATTGTCGATGGACCATGTATTAAGAGTCGTTAAAATCGCCTGAACATCCTCTATTCTACCAGGAATAAGACATGTTTGGCAAGCAATTTAAAAATATGGAGATAACCCTGAAATCTTCGAAAACCTTCCACCTAAAAAAAAATTACTACTGCCATACTATGTATGGGTCTCTCCGTATGATACGACTTTTGTAAATTGAGTTTCTCCAAATCATTCAAAATAACGGGGATATTCAAGCTGATCAAAGTTATTGCCCTATTCTGTATCTACTTATATTAATAAAAATATACATTTCGCCTTTCAATTATTTTCATAATTTTATTTATTGGTCTCATGCAGATGCTTTCAGGTAAGCTGAAATGCATTTCCATCAGGGTCATCTTCGTATTTTGCGTCTCGAGCGTGATAAAGTGCAACAGCGTGCCATGCACGTTCAACACAATGTGCATGTGTTGGGTTCAGGACGATCAGGATTTCACGAAGATGGACATCACTTGTATGGGAACGCCTTTTGCTCGATTTCCTGGTGGGTATATTTAAAACGTTTGTTACGATAAGATTGCGGATATTTATGCAACACGACGTTTTATAAGGTAATTCAAAAAGACAAGAACAGAAGTAGGAACTTGTATATTTTTTAATTGATTGAGAAGATTGAAAATTACAATGGAAAATTCTAAGTCACAAATTTGGAAAAGTTTTCTTTTGTATAGGATGTTTCATTTCATTGGTTCACTTAAGAAAGTGTAGTTTCATTTTTCATGATCACTAAAAAAACAGATAAAGAAGTTATTCACATTAATATAGAAGGTCTTTGATTTTTTATATTAATATTCTTTCAAATGTTTATGTGATTCTGAAGATAAATGAAACACCCTGTATATACGATTTATGTGATTTCGGAATAGAAATAATGACTCAAATCGAAACTATTCCTTACAAGAGGAATTTACTGACGATTTTATTATGGTAACAGATGTCTCCGTGAATTATGTGGCTCAACTGGATGTAGTTGGTTCGGGTATGCAAGCGCTGGATAACGATGCACTCACCAGCTCAGTCGGCGTGGAAGCCTTGGGACTGATGAGCAATCGGTTGTCCAATATTGGCGATAAGGCTTTTTCGTAAGTCAGGATGATCCTTTAAGTCGTATATTTATTAATATTCAGACCTTCTTTGGTTTTCAAGCAAGAATGAAAGCATTAACTAATTATAATAATTTTGAGTTTTATAATCTATCATAATTTATTATTGGAATATATAATTTATTATTCGTCTTTTAGAGTAAAAAAACATATTTCGACGCTTCAACGCATGTTGTAGCTATAATGTAATTATCTTTTTTTGTCAAATCTCAGTCTTGCGTTATGAATAATTTTTACAAAATATTGAAAGTAGCTGAAGGATAATTAAATGACAGTAATAATAAACACGCTTAAATTTAGTAATAATTATTATCAACTTAATTATGATTTCAAATGTGGCACAGACTAATGCTAATTGCAAAGTGTGTTGGGGCAACATTTTAAGTAAAAAAATTTTAAATAACAACATTGTTGGAAAATTAAGTTTAAAGATATCCAGATAAATATATGGTAAAAAAATTTACATTCTGGTGTAGCGATACTAAATTTTACCATGGATCAAAAACATATCACCGTTTGCCTCACTGTCAGACATTCCGTCGTCCAACGATTAACTGAACATTTGTCTAGAACATAACCTTCTTTTGTCAGATGCAGAGATTTATATTCACAGTGAGCAATAGTCCGATGCAGTATTAACGGCCTCAGGATACAGTCATGTATTTTTGTTGGCCAAGAATTAATACCGATTCGATTATCTCGAAGAAAGTTAGATTGCCTCAGGGGTCAATTAACCTAGTATGTTATAAATGGCTGACTGATAAAAGTGCCGGACTAATAAAACAATATTTTAGATCAAAGTTGCAAAGAAAACAATGGTGTTGATAGTACATAAAAATAGTTGGTCACCTTATTATAGTGGATCAATAATGATTTCTTTATTGAAGTATTTAATGCAATATTATGAAAAAGATTTATCTACCCCTTCGGTTACCGAAGTGTTAACCAAATTAAAAGTAAATTTGAAAGAAATACGTCCATTATAATTTTGGGCGTTTAAAAGACTGATCACTGCTGTCTCCAAGAAAGAAGCCATTTTGAATGACCAAAAATAAAATGCATCAACATTTTACGTAAAATTACTGTATTAATTACAGTTCAGGAACTTTTAGTACAAATCGTATGCACCATAAAGAAAATACATTTTGCACATCGTGATCGAAACTGTTCAAATGCCTTCCTGTATTACAACTTTACTCGTTGCTTAGAAATATTTTATTTGTTGGTTCTAATAACCTTCAGGAGACCTCACGTTTGATGTACAATCTAGCTACTCTATTGCGTCTGTACAAAGATTTATGGTTCTTTCTTTTCAAAGATAAAAAGATACTCACGTCTCCAACGGCTCTGTTATTAGAGGTATCGCGGATAGTTTGCGTACGTTGGATCTCAGTTACAATACCCTGGAGGGTGTACCTTTCAAGGCCTTTCGTGACCTGAGGAAATTGAAGTGGCTCAATATGCATAGGTGAGTCAATGGATGCCTGGTTCGGTAGAATATTCTTCTCGGGGTAATGATGCAGTGTATAAAATAGAGAACAGGACAGGGTGGTCTTGTACGTAATACCTCTGTTCTGTAATTAATGATAACAGTGAAGGAAAAGGTTTAATCCTTAACTGCAAACGACTTGTCTCAGAGATGAATAATTCGACAACGACTACTTTGTAACATTTTTTAATCACAAATTGAATGTTATTTTTCGTTATGTTTTTGGAAACAGTGCGCCACTTACTGCCAATTGGACTATTTGACAAGGAAGGTTTCCCAACCCATAGGTGTCGATTTTAATTTGATCGAAATTAATTTCATTTAGAATAATCTACAACTGTATATTGTAGATGTATAGTTGCACTCGTGGACAAAATTTGGTCTCAAATTAAATATGTAAATCATTCGAATTCTACGTATAACATTTTTTCCTAATTACAGTTAGAAAACAGATATGACTTATCTCACAATGAGTTTCACCCACCTTCATGTCTATAGTGCTATAATTCCGTATACCTTGTAAAGAGGAATTAAAATGTTATTCTTCACGATTTTTTTTCATTCTACAAACTTAATTTCAGTTATCCAATAAAAACAATTGACGATGTTTAAATATTTTATAATTATACAAGGAGCAAGAATGGCCATTATTTGGCCATTTATTTCACACGAACCCAATACACTCGTTGAAGAGCATAAGTGTGTTGCAACAAAGTGTTCATTTTTAGTAACCATTTGACATCGCTGGACGGTGATTGGGGACACACGAAAGAGGCGCTGATGAACGCGTTCTTCGGGGACAATTCAATCATCGAGGTACCAAAACTTTTCTCCACGTTCGAGTCTCTGGTCTGGCTCAATCTCGACAACAATAACATTGAGGAACTGTCGGAGGAGAGTCTGCCGCCCAACATGCACACGCTCAGCCTAAACAGCAACCTACTCAAACACTTTCCATCGTCGTTGAAAACATTGAAACATCTCACGTGGCTCTACTTAAGGGGCAACGATTTAAAAACTCTCGAGCTGCCCGACTTCGAGAGCTCTAGTTTGGAGCTGGTCGACGTCAGTGAGAACTGCATCGAATGGATCCGTGCGTCGAGCCTGACCAATCGAACGTTAAAGATCAAAGATTTTAACCTGGACAGCAACAAGCTGTCATCCTTACCTGCCGGCGCGTTCGAAGGGCTGGACATCAAGAGGATTCATTTGTCCTCGAACTCGATCAAAAACGTCGACGACGATGCTTTCTGGGGGCTCGAGGACACTCTGGAGTATTTGAATCTGGAGAACAACGACCTCCCGAATGTTCCCGCCGCTGTCAGCCGATTAAGAAAGCTATCCTATTTGTATCTGGCCAACAACGATATAAGAAACATTTCTGGCGATGCTTTCCAAGAGTTTGCGGAAAATTTGCGAGCTCTTTCGCTTGCTACTAACAGCTTGGATGCGGTTCCTGTCTCAGCTTTACTCAGGTATATCTCCGTTTCGTCTCTAACAAGGGACATTGTTCCAGATGTTAAGTTAGTTTGGGAAAAATAGTGACTGGAAATTATAAGACTTGACTTGTTGAGAACTGAAAGTTCCGTATCGACCAGAAAAATGGCGTCAAATTTCGTCTTGAGAAGCCTCGAACATGGATATAGACATTTTTGAATTTCTTTTGTCTTTTTACGTTTTCTTGGACGCGTGTAAATAAGATCACTGAAAGAGGAGAAAGAAATATCAATATGGTGTTTTTGTTCACCTCGATCCAAGTGTTTATGCTATTGATCAAGCAACCTTTGAGAATTTTCTGCGACTCCAGACTGGCGAACTGGACCTACATGTTGCTTAAAGTCGGAAAATAGATTTGGTCCCCATGTTGGTGTTTTTTTTATATTTCTTTTCTAGTTATTTTGTATTCAAGAAAAAACCTAAAAAGTTGAAAAAATTATAAGTAGAATGTTATTTATATCCCTTTTCAGATTTTGACGCTTCTTATTTGGTCGATACTGAACTTTCTGGGCGAATGACACTTATTTCAGTTCTTAGGAGATCGATCACTGCAACTTCTAACTATTATTTTTTTTCAAAACTATTAATATAACATTTGAATAACTTCCCTCGTAAGTGTTTATTTACAATTACACTGCGCAACACGTAAAATCCTCCTAATCTTCAAAAGGCATTTCTGATAGATCTTTAGAAGCTGAATACGCATCTGCAGGCCGTTTTTCCCAGCACGTCTAGTTTTTGAAAAAAAATCAATTTAAAAAAAAATTGCAAGTTTTCAACTTTGAAGGTGCGTTGTGCTTTTACAGTTTTGCTCTGAAATAATAAAAAGTTAGATCTGAAGAGATTAAATTAATTACAAGTATGTGTGTAAAGTGGCAGTTTATGGAGTAAATTCATAAAATAGGTACAAAAATAATACAAAATTTAATCTCATGATGAAAATCTCCTTTCTTTGTACATAGACTGCAGACTGCATAATGCCTTTATTTTCAAAGACAACTGATCCCCAATATTTTGATTGTGACGCAAAAAACATTATATAATTGTACGCTTTCGGTGTTTTTCGAAATAGATGCCAGAGGCTACTACACTTGAATCTTGGTTACAACAAGATCTCCCATGTACAACCAGGTGACTTCGAGTGGGCGGAGGACCTTCAAATTCTTTTGCTTAGGAATAATGTCCTAACAAAATTGAGTAAAGAAACTTTCAAAGGAGCAAGTAAGTTTCACTTCAGATTATTCTTTTTCCGAATATTTAATATTTTCTTTAGCCCAATATTTTATGTTACCATAATAATTTTTGTGAATATTTCACATTCATTAACGTAATTTAACATTTGTGATAACACAGTTTTAAAAAAAAAACTACATTTAGTGAAATCCATTTCTCGTTTAAGTTTAGGACTTATTGGCTTCTTAAGCTATTATAGGTACCTTTTACGATACATAAATTTCCAATGTCATTTTAAAACAAAGTTATTTCGAGGATACTAATTTTCATAGTGTACATTTCTTCATAATTCATTTACTTTCTACTTATACAGCATAACCATTGCATATGATCTTGTTTGTAGACATTGTGTTGATTTAGGTAAGAACACAATAGCACAGACAGTAGGTACTGGCGGGGGTGCAAAAGCTGCCTGGGCGGCCAAACCCATTAACATGAAAACAATGATTTCAGGCAAACTACAGGAGCTTAGCCTGTCCTTCAATCATCTTACGGAGCTTGACGATGACTGTTTCGTCGGTATCGAGGAAAGTCTCGAGATCCTCGAGTTAAGTTTCGCCTTTGCAACCGACGTGTTCCCTCAAAGAGCTCTCCGACCCCTCTCGAACCTGCTCTGGCTGGTTCTAGACAACAACAATTTCCAAACCATCGAGGCGACCGCGTTCTACTCGTTCCAAAAACTACGATACATCAATTTAGAATCGAATCGTCTCCATTATCTGCCAGAACGAATATTCTTATCCAGCGTTCACCCTGAATTGCGTGACGTTAAGCTCGGTTACAATTTCCTGGAAGCCATACCAGAATACAGTTTCCACAATCTGACCGAGCTGAGATCCTTGGATCTGACCGGGAATCGAATAAAGGTTCTCGCCTCGGAATCCATCGTCGACTGTCCGAAATTGGTGACGATATCGTTGGCTTACAATCGAATCGCCAAAATGGAGAAGAACGCTTTCTACGGTTTGCCCAGCTTGCGTTTCCTCCATTTGGAATTCAATAAATTGACCAGCTTGGATCTGGAAGCGATTTCGGAGATCGGAGGACCGGATTTCGCGTTGAACGTCTCTTATAACGCGATCTCGTTAATTCATTCCGGAGGTTCGATGAACAATTTGACGAGGTTGGACTTGAGCTTCAATAACATCAGTCACTTGCCCGCTGATACGTTCACCAGCACACCAGACCTGAGAAGTCTGGATTTACGAAGCAATTTGATCGCTGCGCTTGAGCCAGGTAGGTAACAATAATAGAGGAAATGCAGCTATATTGTATCCAGGACTGGAAGTTATCGAGAGAACATTTTATTTAATTGATTATTTAACTATCGGGTCAGCTCGACTCAAATTCAGACTTTAATTTGCAGTTGTATTCTTTATCAGAGAAACTTGTAAATTAATTTAACATATAAAGATTTTCTGAAACCTTTATTGTTATTTGAGAGATTTTCAAATTATTTCTTCGAATATAAATAATACAAACTGAGACTCGCGCATTTGGGGTTCAATGTAGCAGCATTTCTCTTATAATTAAAAATTGTTCCGCAGTTCCCATTGCACCCTAACCGAAATCGTTTTTCAGTTATTGCGATATTCTAGGTACCTTTGGACTGAGTCACCTGGAAACGCTGAACTTACAAGACAACAAGATAGAAGGCCTGCGAAAGCAATCGTTCCACGGTTTAGATTTGCTCCAACAATTGGACCTGAGCGGCAATCAGATCAGCCAACTGTCCACCGAACAGTTCCGAAATCTAAAGAATCTACGGATTCTGAATCTGTTCGGCAACAGAATCAGATCATTGCCAAGGGACGTTTTCAAGGGTACGAAGCTGGAGATTCTTGATTTGGGCCACAACAAATTCACCGTGGTCCCGTCGCCGTCTTTTCTAGAAGTCGGTTACACATTGAGGGACCTTAACCTGGCGGACAATTACGTAGATCACCTCGATTCCACAGCGTTTCCGATTTCGCAACTGGTCTCGTTGAACCTGGTGCACAACAGACTGACAATACTTCCAGACAATTCATTTGTCTCTCTAGGGAAACTTTTGAGATTAAACATTTCGCAGAATGTTCTTCAGGCTAACTTTAAAGAGCTGTTCCACTATCTTCCCGGCTTAAGGCAGCTTTTCATGGCCAGCTGCGGCCTCCGAGATATTCCACTTCTTCCCTTAATCAATCTGAATGTATTGGACCTGTCCTTCAACCATATAGACTCAACAACCGACAAGCAGTTCCAATACCTAAAAGATCTAAGGGTTCTTCGACTGCTGAACAACTCGCTGACAGCTATGCCAAATGTGAATTTGAATCTCTTGAGGGAGCTCGACGTGTCTGGAAACCCGATAGAGGTAAGGTAACAGAGGTGTTTCAACTTTTTCCTCTATTTGCGCCACCGATTCGTTACAAGAAGATTATTTAATATTTACCAGACTATAGTGTTATTTCCGTAATTTTTGAAAGTTCATAGTAAATTTCAATACAAGATAAAAACAATATTTTAATTTCTTACAAGATTGGTTTTGATCATTTTAAAGTACATGTTAAATGTTAATGGATAATAGTGTAGTATTGGGAGTCGTGTCAGGCGATGGAATGACTTTCACAGTTTAAATAAAATGAAACTAAATATATTTACTTGAATAATAAATACAAGAATTCCGTTCTAACAAATATACAACTCTGAATGTATCATATTTCTATCATATTCGTGGGAATAAATATAAAAAATAGAGTGAATGCACCAGTAAATGAAGATTATGTATAAAAACGACTAAATTAAGTTTTTAAAATAAGCAAATGATTAAATAATGAATTTTTTTCAATTCTTTGTTTTATATTCAAACAATTTTTGCGCCATTGGCTAAAAATATCCATTTACTTAATATTAATTAGTATTGTTCATTCATTGGTGAAATCTGTTTTTTGTCTCATTAATTTAATTAATCACATTTCTTTAATTTTTCAAATTGAAATCTATACGCTGTAAAAGGTATAGATATTAAAAAACAAATATAAATTTCAAGTGTCAAATATTTATCTATATTGTTATTATTTAAAATTGGACTGTAATAGTTGCCAAATCTCTCAAGTGTTCATTCATTGACGCATTTACTCTATAATTTTGGAAAAAAAGAATAATTACAAAACGTGAAATATATCGACATAATAATTGACTTAGGAACTGACAAAAGAAAGTTTTATGGGCTATCCAAGGCTGGAAGATCTGAAACTGAGGAATTTGAATAAAACTAGATCGGTGGACAAAGACTGCTTACGCGTCTTGAAATACCTGAAACACCTTCGTATACAAACGTGGCCCGAAGCAGATGGCTTTCATCTTCGACACATATTGACTGGATTACCGTTGAGAACCGTAGAAATACAAGTTACGGAACACCTGTTGAAGCATCAGATACAGAACGCGTTCACGAAGCAGCTCAGAGAATTGACTATTTCTGGCAACGAGCTCGAGGTGATCTCTTCGGAAGCGTTCTCCACCATCGAAGGTGGCGAACTTATACTGCGAATAAAGGACACCCGTGTACGGAGATTACAGTCAGATATATTTCTGTCTTTAACGAAAAGACTGTCTCAACTTACGTTGGATTTGAGGAACAATCATATAAACGAACTCAGCCCTTCCATCATCTACGGAAACCTCTCGTGGGAGAGCGTCGGGACCAATATGGTTGCAGGTAAGAAACTTTTCATTCCTTGTACATCCAAACGTCTATTGAACAATGCCCTTCAAGAGGAAGTATTGTTCATATAATCATGTTAAATATTATCCAAAGTGTACAAGTTATATCTTCGAAAAAGATGCAGACAAGGAAACTTTGATTAATGAAAGTTATGCACGCTGAAATATATGATTAAACTTTTGTCTAATACAATTTTTTGTAAAGTCACATTTTTTGTAAAACTTAGGGGTTTCGAGATATAGACATTTCTATTCTCCGAAATGTGAATTTTTATAACTTTTTAATGCTTTAACTTATTGATCTCAAACGTTTGTAAATACTATTGTTTTGACATGGCACCTTTTAAGTCACAATGATTTTTAGTCTTCTTTGCCTTGTAGTGGAGGTACATTTTTAAGAACTATTAGAAAGCAATTTCTTTGCATAGGTATTTGACCCAAAATACATCGAGTTGGAGCTCCTTAGCTAGCTATTTTATAATGTTTTAGTACAAGGGTATGGTAAAAATCATTTATACAACATTTTATTAAAGCAGCATATTCGCATCGAATTTTCTTTATCATCTTAATCATTGGGTTATTTTTTAAATAAACTAGCTTGTCGTGTAAGTTTTTGGAAAAGTTATGTAATATCATTTCCTGCTAGTTTCAACGTAAAGTCTTAAAAAATATTTAGCGAGCACATAATATTTAGACAAAAAGAAAATGATACATAATATAGGAAGTAATTGTTATGTTTTGTATTGTGTATTATTTTAAGATATATGTATCTTATATTATAATACAATGTTGAAAAAATTATTTTCACCATACCTTGGTACTAAAACATTACAAAATAGCTAGCTATCGACCTTCATCCAGACTAAACTCGATAACTGTTTGCGACGCAAAAGGAAAGCGTGCAAGTGAATCTACATTTTCTGTTAGGAGGGTTGCAGGTGTCGGGAAATCCGCTCGAATGCGACTGCGAAATCGCCTGGCTCAGTTTATGGTTGCGAAGATGGCTGAGGGAGTCTCGACAAATTCACACAGCGTCCCAGTCGGATGCGAAACAGCTCCGAATGATCGCTGGCAGAGCTGTTTGTACCGAAACCACGCCGTCTTACTCGTCCGATAAAGTGCTGTTAACTTTAGGGACCCCTCATACCGCCTGCCAAGCATCCGCCCTTAGTTCAGGCAACTACGAAAAACTCGCCACCACCTGGTTAGCTATAGCTGACATCGTCCTTCTGACCATAATAGTCAATTAAACGCATTGATTTAATTGACGTGCAATTTTCTAGAGAAAAACATCGTTAATCACATTGCCATCGCATTTACGGAAACGACAAATCGTGAACACTTCTGTAAGTAGAACCTGCTGGTGTTTATCGATATTTCTGGAAAATTTTCCAATAAGCGACTGCTATACATTTGTATATATATTTTGTAAGTTACGTAACCGTTTGCGCTTCTAATTTTTCTTCAATTTTCATTCGGCCAATTTCAATTAATTTTAAAGTGTCCATATTTTCGAAGGTATGTTCATAAAGAGGACAAATAGGACTATATCCTCATTTTTTTCAAATTTTTAAATAGTTATACCCGGTATAAAAACAGGGCATTTATTTAAAACAATTGCAAAACAAATGGTTAAAAAATATCTTTTTTTAACTGAAATAATTTTTATTTGGTACTCTTATGTTTTCACTGTAAGTACCCCCGAAGCTCATTTTGATCAGTTTGTTAGTTCAATAGTTATGATTTATTGAAAAAAGGTTGACCCTAAGTTTCAAACAGCTGTGAAAGCAACAATTTAAAAAATTTTCAAAAATCCTTCGAGATACGTTTATATATCGCTAAAGACTACAACATATCCAAATTTGAACAAAATCCGAAATGGTGCTCCAAAAAGTGTCCAATTTTGCGTGGAATAACCCCTACAGGAACAAACATTTTCTTCCTTACACACTTTCTCGTATCATTAAAGACAACGAAGATATTTTAGATGAAAGTGTTAGGTGACTCACTGTATACATATGTATATATATATATATATATAAATAATTAATGTAGAATAACAGCGTTGCTTACCGCTATAATCGTATTACGAATGACTAAAAGGTAACGTTGGAGACCGTACAACTACTCTAAGCCACTGTTCTTATCGGATTTGGATAGAGAAAGAAACGGGGACGAACTTAGACCAAAATAACAATACAATACAAACAATTAAGAACAATAAATTCGTGGTTTTTTATGTAACGTTATAAAATAAAAATGACGAACTAGTGTTAAACGCTACGCAATAATTCCACTTTCACCCTCGTTGTAACGACGCTGAACACGACCCGGCAAGACGAGATTAAAACTTCAACGGTCTGTTTTCGTTCGAAGAATATCTTTTTATTATTTACATAAAAAAGAATTTTTGTTATGGTAATTAAGTTGTGCGGTTTTGTACAAATGAACAAAAGACAGGCAGAGAATACGCACGTACAAACCGACGAGAAATGGTGTAGAACCGAAAAGGAAAAAAGGGGGGGGGAGAGATGAATAGCAATAGAGACAAAAAAAAAGAAAACTTAAAATTGACGAGTAAAAAATTTCTTGGCGACACGCGACAACGACAAATTTGCGTACGTTATAGCGTGACAAATCGTGAACTAATGTTTATAACATTCCTACGCCGCGTATATTTCCGCGTTTTATGGTACAGCCGCGAGCATTAGGTAATAATTCTTAACTTATTTATATAATTCTTCTCTGTTTTTTTATCCTCCCGTGATTTTTTTTACACTGGCGGCGCTTGCGTGTGCTGCAAGCAACCTTCCACGTTCTCGGGCCAGTCGCATACGTTCTCGTTCGGATTGAAAACCAAATTTACCGGGCAGGGCATGTGATGCTTCCTCTCGCCCTCGCACATATAGTACATTGTACAGTCGTTCTTGTCCGGATGATAAGATATATGGTTGTCCTCCTCGTCGCAGGTCACTTCGTTTGCTGCAACAAGAAACGTCGGTCTTAAGCTGCATCTACACTAGATAGCAGAACACGTTATACAGAGTGTTCGCCCACTAGTGGGAAAAAATTTAAGGGGTGATTCTTTCGGGCAAAATAAGACGAAAATCAAGAATAACGAAGTCGAGACAAATGTTTTGTTTGTTAGTTATAAGCGTTTAAAAATTGACAGAAATGATGGCTATTCGCACGCACGGAGTGTCAGTGGAGCAGGGTTTGTAAGGGCGCAGACGAGGTATAATAGGAGCAGACATTTCATCTTATGGGAGTTGGTGGCCCACCTAAACTGTAGTACCGACACCTTAAAAAGCCTCTGATTTTAGTGACCTCTACGTTTTGAGAACGGTGAATGGCGGTGGGTACTGACATTAAAATGGAAATGGGGTACGTATCCCCAGAAAAGTGGGCCGCAAAAATACATTGGATGAAATGTCTACTCCTATATGTACCTCGTCTGTGGTACGAGGCGTACAGTCAGTCTACTGACTCAACGACGTCCAGGAAAAGTAGGTAGAACAGCTGTCTACTTACCCGGTAGAAGATGTCGATAACTTGTGACCGTCGATAACTTGTATCACATTAACTCTGATTACTCGATAAAATTTTCAAGAAATGTAAGTATCTTCTTACGAATATTATTGAATAGAGAGGGTTAATACCCCCTCTGGTTGTCACGTACAGCAATTGTCCTGTCCACGAGTATCCATGAAATTAGTCCGCACATGCACGTCACAGAAGTCCACGAAAAATGTTCACACACACTGCGCGATTGTCCTGACCGCGAAAAATATTCACACACTGCGCGATTAATTAGACCCGCACGCGGTTCCTCCGTTGCGTTTACCACTGTACACGATACACAAAACTAACATACAAAATAATTAATTTATAACTATTATTTACACGAATTTTTAAGCTATACTAATTAATTTATAACAACTATTTATACTAATTTTTAACCTGCAATAATGAATAAAACTTACAATATTTAATAAAACCTTGCAATAATTAATAAAATCTACAATATTTAATAAAACTTACTGCAGGTTTTATTAAATATTGTAGGTTTTATTCATTATTGCAGGTTTTATTAAATATTGTAGGTTTTATTCATTATTGCAGGTTTTATTAAATATTGTAGGTTTTATTAATTATTGCAGGTTAAAAATTAGTATAAATAGTTGTTATAAATTAATTATTGCAGGTTAAACATTAAAATGAGTAATAGCTATAAATTCATTAGTGTAGGTTAAAAATGCGTGTAAATAATAGTTATAAATTAATTATTTTGTGTGTTAGTTTGTGTATCGTGTATAGTGGTACCCGCAAGGGTGGAACTGCGTGGGGGTCTAATCAATCGCGCAGTGTGTGTGGACATTTTTCGCGGATTTCAGTGGTGTACGTGCATGTGCGGATTAATTTCATGGATATTCGTGGGCAGGACGATTGTTGTACGTGACAACTAGAGGGGATATTAACCCTCTCTATTCGATAATATTCGTAAGAAGATATTTACATTTCTTGAGAATTTTATCGAGTAATCAGAGTTAATGTGATTCAAGTGGATTCGACTCAAATACCGTGGTTACAGTTATCGACATCTTCTACCGCGTAAGTAGACAGCTGTTCTACCTACTTTTCCAGGACGTCGTTGAGTCCTTAGAGTGACTGTACGCTCTTTACGAATCCTGCCCCACTGACACTCCGTGCATGCGGATTGCCATCATTTGGGTCAATTTTTAAATGCTTATAACTAAAAAACAAAGCATTTGTCGCAATTTCGTTATTCTTAATTTTTGTCTTATTTTGCCCCAGAGAATCACCTCTTAAATGTTTTCCCACTAGTGGTCGAACACCATGTATAACGAAGTTATAAAACTTGGTTGAAGAACAGAAAGAAAAATGTTATAAAGCATTCTTCGTGTTATATAGCAAGTTGTTATTAAATATTCTATTGTTTGTCCCCATGTTTGTAAGTATTTTACAAAAATACCTATGTTCAAATAATCATTGTCACGAATAAAAAAGCGACGTTTTTTTACGAGTTTTTAAAAAAAAGCGCGTGATGGGTTAAATGTTTCGTACATAATTTTATTGTAATTTACATGCTCCCATCAACCACAGTTCTCTTTAATTCCATAAAGCTTAGTTTTTATCATGCCATTAAAGCAATTAAAGAAATTCTAAATATAATAATTTTAACATGTTCCAAAGAACGGTCTACTGGCCGTTCACTTAATAGATATTGTAGGTAAAGATTTTGAGTCTGTTCTAAATACTTACGATTTTTTGTGGTGTACCTCCCGTTTCTTAAGTTGTTCTCATAAGGACCGTCGTATTCTAGCGTTACTTTGTAGTCTTGCAGTTCTTTCTTCATAGCTTTGATCAGTGGATACTTTCCACTCCCACAACTGCCTCTGAAGTCGTCCATGTCCACCGACCATATCATTATACCTCCGAAACCTTCTTCCTTCAGCCATTGCATCTAAAGTCATTGAAAATACAGATGGTATATTATACAACTTCAAAATTGCGTATACTTCAAAATAAATACATGTCTCTAAAATATTATTGGGAAAACGTTTAATTAAATTGAAAAAGCATTAAATGGGACATCTCGTATCTACTGTTAAAGTTTACTATCGGCTATTAGTAACTACAGTGATTCTTACCTTATTTATGAGGCTTCTTTCGTCGTCAAATCCGACCCACTGGTCGTCTCTGTACGCAAAAGGTACTTGTTGCTCACTGTCCCAGACTAGAGTAGTATTTTCTTCGTTTAGGAAGCCGCAAACCTATACATTCAATGCCATTACTCTGAGTATGAACTTTCGATAAATCTTCGAAAGTTCTTAAGGTGGCTTCCGCAAATTTGTAATAATTATAAATTTAGTTAAAAAATTAACACAACATGCTTCAGAACTTCAACTTTCGATTGCTACCAAAAAATCGCAAGGTCAACGATAATAAAATTATTGGAAAAGAAATATCATTCAGACGCCACACGTGTATGTTTTCATTGTCACTTTTCTTGCATCAGTAACATATAAAAATGCACCGGGAGATAATAAAAAAAAAATGTCTTGTTTTTTATCCCACTTATTTCTGAATTTCATTTCCATTTAAGTATTTTGAAGTAGTATAAAATATTAATAAATTAATCTTTTATACTACTATTCCAAACGCGGAAGGTACGTTAAGTAGTACCTCATAGTAGGAGAGGAATCCAGATTCATTGGTGAAGTTTCCAGCTGTTCCTCCGCCAGACGCTGGTGCTCCAATGTCAAACTTCTCTTTGTCAACCAATGTGAAAGACCTACCATAAGTTGGCATACCGATCATCAATTTTTCCTTCGGTGCGCCCTGTTTTACCCATTCCCTCGCACTGTAGTCCTGTAAGGCAAGACTCACGATATAGACGTAGTCCAATTATTGAATGAGAGTCATCGTAAGATTATTGAAAACGTAGGGTTAATAAAATATACGATGTAATATGATAAATGAGATGTATTAATGTAAATACTACACAAATAATACTGTGTAAAAAAATGATTAACGAAAGAGTATAAATGTTGAAGTACCTACGTATACAGGGTATTTCACCTAACTTGACCACCTTAAATATATCGCTTATTTTGTATGATAGAAAAAATATCAGGGATGAAAAATATTCTATTCGAAGGCGCCAATACGGTGATGGGCCGAATTTTTTTCTCAAGGTCATTTTTTTCGAGATTTCAAGGTCATCGAATGTTTTTTAAATGGGACTACATATTTTCACTATAACACTCTTATAGCATATAAAAAAACAAATCCAACGAGGTGCAATATGTTGACCTTCACGTGACCTTTAGCGAAAAAATCATGAAATGTTTGTCAGTAAGCTCAGTACGCGTTCGGGGACGGTAAATGCAGGAATTTCAATTTCATTGGAACAGTGTACCGTGTAATTGTCCCTCGTGCTTGTAAACAGACATTCGTATTCTCCTTTCATCGGCTGAAGTATGTTTACAAACATTATTATCAAAGTAAATCTTAGGGTTAAGGTAAGCCACTTGATTTCTTTCTGTGGGGACACCTAAAAAGTAAAGTTTACAATGATGTTCCCACAACAGCAGAAAACATGAGACAAAGGGTTCTCCATGAATGTAGATCAAATACTGCAGAGCAACTTAAAAATGTACAGCAAGAATTTATTTACCGCCTCCAAAAATGTATTCAGGTTCATGGTGCACATTTTGAACACCTTCTAAAATAAAGATTTAACTAAAAACTGTTGCAATGAAATTGAAGTTCCTACTCATTTACCGTCCCCGAACGCGTACTGAGCTTACTGATAAACATTTCATGGTTTTTTCGCTAAAGGTCACGTGAAGGTCAACATATTGCACCTCGTTGGATTTGTTTTTTTATATGATATAAGAGTGTTGTAGTGAAAATATGTAGTCCAATTTAAAAAAATTCGATGACCTTGAAATCTCGAAAAAAATGACCTTGAGAAAAAAATTCGTCCCGTCACCGTATTGGCGTCTTCGAACAGAATATTTTTCTCCCCTGATATTTTTTCTATCATACAAAATAAGCGATATATTTAAGGTGGTCAAGTTAGGTGAAATACCCTGTATAATGAATACAAAATGAATGAGTTAGGCATAAGTGAACAATCGATTCGCTTTGTCTCGAAGTATTCATATAAATATTCCATAAGTAATATATAAAAATATAATAATACTCTATAAAGAGTCAGTAGAAAGAGGTGTATAGGTGAAGAATTAATTTTGTTTTTCCATTAAGCTATCATTATTTTAGTGCCTAATTTATCAAACAATTTTTGTTATAATGTATTACCTACAACCGTCTTGTGAATGATATTCTTATTCTACACTATTGATAATCAGTATGAAATACCAAATGTTGTTCATAAAAAAAAATTAAATGGAGTTGTTTGTACTTTTTGAAAGTATGATTTAAGTATCGAAAGATGTACAAAAATGAAAAATATTTCTAGTATTCTTAGTACAACATTTTTAATTTATATTTTATAGATTTTGGCAACTGTAGCTGGAAAGTGGATATAAATGACATTTTTTGTGTACAGTTTCTACTTACCACTGTTAATTTTTTCTGGTAACTGGTAGCACTTTCTAAAGGAAATAGGGGACTGTTGTGACCGACCTGTCTCTCCCACTGACCGTGAAAGTCGTATGTCATAACGTTAATGAAATCCAAGTACTTTGATATTTCGGGCACATCGTACCTATGATTCAGAAAAGTTATGTTTAGTACTTTGACTGCCACGTCACCCACATATGGGTGACACTTTGATTGCAAAGTGGCTGGATTATTTAAATATCATTACAAAATTTTTCCATTCAAATTATTATAGCAGTATGATTTAAAACGAGCACAGCAGTCTTTATCAACTAAATGCATATATGTATATATTTTCGACGATTTATAACTGAAGGAAACGAAACAAAGTGTGTCTGGCACGGAACGACCTTTTTCACTGTGGCAGACAACGTGTTAATATACATATTTATGTGTTCATAACATTAGATAGTGTTACGTTCCGAACAAAATTCTTTTTTTTTCTTTTACATCGGCTGGAATGCGTTACGATAATGCATAACATTGTAGAAGCTCCCTAATCGAACGCAGTACGGTCTTTGATGTTTGTAAGATAGTTTTCTCATTGGCGATGCGAGTAAGTTTGTATATGTATAATACTCTGTTTCTAAATTCAAACGATTTACTTTCTTTTACATTACCTAGTATTTAGCCTCCTTAAATTCCGTATGGGACTGAAGTATCGACAAACCCAAAAACAAAAATAAAAACCTTAATTGATTGTATTCTAGATTTTATCGGTCACAATTAATTAAGGATATTTATTCGTTGCTTGTTGCGGGTAAATTCTAACAAAATTTACTCTAGCAAGTCGCACGCGTGTTCCGCTCTGTAACTAAACAGACATATCACGTTACCGAAATTCACATTAATTCGATTCCTGTGTTTTTGTATTGTATTGTTCTACCAAAAGCATAGTAGTCGTAATTACACATATACACGCGCGCTCCTCGCACGTAACAATGGATTGCTAGATGTTATTTGAAATGGAAATTCAATTTTTTCACGAAAATTAGTAATTCATATATTTTGCATTGTAGTAGATACTATGATTGGTAAGAAGTTTTCAATAGAGTATAACTAATGTGGACCTCATCAATATCTTAATAATGTTGCGGAGCCGAAACTTATAAAGCAATTTTTATCATCACCAATAATCACATCCGTTCAGTTGATGCGACGTTAAATTAAAAAAAAAACAAACACAAAACTTACCCAGCAGCGATTGCTTCGAAACTAGCAGGCACTGCCGCTGACAAAATTAACTTTGGTTGGCCCGAACTCTTCGCTTCGCCTTCAAAAGCGAGCCTAAGCTCCTTCAAGAGATTCACGTAAGCCGTTCTATCATCGCCGCCCCTGGTGCGATCAGTTTCGATTAAAATTTCTCTAATTTACGAAAGCAACAGTTATAAATGCTGAGCAATCATTTTTGGATTTTTACCGTGGATATTCCCAGTCGACGTCTAAGCCATCGAATTTGTATTCTCTCAAGAAATCAATGGCTTCGTACACGAATTGGTTCATGCGGAAAGTGTTGCTAGTCAGTTCCTTAAATGGGGTTGATCCGAAAGCCCAACCACCAATCGCTAATAATATCTGTAAGGTATAATAAATTCGTCAGTGTTACCAATTTTTTCATGTTATATGTATTTGATTTTGTATTTTTCTTCAAGAATTTGAACGGTGATTAAATTCTTTTAAATTCCTTTATCAAGTATCTGTGTTTTTGTACTATGTATTACATAATAGAGAATTCTTGTAAAATTTACTTTTTGAATTTGTACTTATTACTTTGTACTGAAAATACTTTTCAGATCATTATACGATATGTTTCATAAGGTTTACACGCAAATACAAAGTAATGATTACATTTATTATAGAATTATGATTCCAGAGATAATTGGGTGTAAAGGTTCACATGGGACACCCTGTATATTTACAAACAGAAACTATAGTCGTCTCAGAAAATGTGGTAATGCTTCCTCTAATTTTTTAAATTCAGGAACAATGGATGAATGCATTATTTCTGTGAGCAATTGTAGCCACATTTTTCACTAAGTGTTTGAAATGTTAATATCGCAAAATTCTAAAAAAAAAAAAAAAATAGAAAGGGGATTTTACCTTGATATCCGGATTCTTATCGCGAAGCGAAATCAGTCGATTGTACATCTCGGCATCTTTATCGCTTTCCTCAACGAGCAAATAATTTTTCAAGGTCGCGAACGCGTAGACTATGTGAGTGCAGAGCGTCGGATCGATGTCCTCTGGCGTAAATTTTCCAGCGCCTGGCCTTCTGTGCGACCAATTCGTTAGATAGCAAAAAGATTGGGCCTCTCTTTCTGTAAACAAAAAAAATTAATAAGCTCACACGAATTTGTTCTACACCAACGAGAAAAGTAATCAATATGTTCTAGTTGTGGATAAATCTAAAGAAGTTCATCTCTGGAGCATATCTAAATAAAGGAAAACACACTCAACTGATAACTATAATCATAAAATTTTTACGATATTAACGCTAGTAAGATATATGTATACTGAAAGGAACAGTGCACGCGTCTCTAAAAATAAATTGGTTGATTTCCATGAAAGGAATACTAATAAATTGATAATTACGTAATAGGAATAAATTATACACGAAGATCATTCTATGGTTAATGTCAGGACTGATGAGTAGACTGCGGATGTTTATGCAAAATCATCATTTTAAATATTAATTTATGAATATGAAAATGAGAGAAAAATTTATTTCTTATCGTGTTAGTAAATATGAGTAAGTTTCTCTAACTATATTGCCACTAAACATATTGCCACGCGAGCCACTTCTCCTTCACACGTACTTTCCGAGGCCCAGGGACTTCTACCGATACGTAAAATACTTGTATTATACCCGTATTTTTGGTTGTACCTTCGCCCTATATGTATAATCCTATATAAACCCTACCCTTGTATAAACTGAAAAAATATCGGTATTTATTTCGGTTTTCGGTAATATATCGGTTTTGGTATAGCTTTGATGACATAACACCGGTTTAAATCCCTGCTGTGGCCGAGGCTATGACGATATAACCTATCATGGAGGGGGCTCAGAACTCATTGCCATTTTACCCCCCTACAGCCCCGACCATGGCAATATAGTTAGAGTCCACTGTAATTTAAAATTACCGTTTGTTGGAGTATTGATGACCAGTTGAGTCGCCGATTTTTGAAGTTTCTTTGTTTTGCTGAGAACATCTGACACCGATATCTTGTATGGTTCCGGTTTTTTCTGGACGGTCTCGGTGATAGTAGCAGCCACAACACTCCAATCGACGTCTTTCGCGTTCGAGCCCCTCGAAATACCCAATAGTTCCTCCCTCATCGCCCCGATCAATGGGTATCTAACGTTCCCGTTGCAGGAAGTTCCGTTGAAATCGTCCATATCTACTGTCCACACCATCGCGCCGCCGTAACCCTTGCTTTTCAGCCAGTCCATTTTGTTACGGATGGATTTCTCGTCGTCGAAGCCGACCCATTGCTCGTGATGCACCAGATACGGGACTTTCATTTCGTCATCCCACACATAGGCCGCGCCATTTTGGAGCATCTCGCAGATCTTTCGCAGAAAAAACGTACTTATTCATTGTTAACCCAGTTATATTTATCGAATATAATAAGTATATTTAAATGGGGTCCCATATCAGGTGCCATTACTCTAGTACAATAATAACTCAGAAACTGGAAATTTTTAGTTATATCATTGTTACAGTAAATAAACGACGTAGTCCCGACAATGCATGAACACCGCTGTGTTAGGTGAAAGATTAACGAGTGTTTGTAAATATCATACCTCATAATAGGCAAGAAAACCGGATTCCTTGGTATACTCGCCGGCCTTTCCACCGCCACTGGCAGGTGAATGAATACGGAAATTCGAAGGATTCGAGAGAGTGAAGGATCGGCCATAGGTTGGCATGCCTATTATTAATTTCTCTTTAGGGGCGCCCAACCGAACCCACATCGACGCGGCGTTGTCCACGCTGAGCTGCTTCTGCCACTCAGAATCCAACGAAGAGGCGTACAAAGGCGCATTGTGCCCCGTTTCTCTTTCCCATTTCCCGTGGAAGTCGTACGCCATCAAGTTGATGAAGTCCAGGTAACTAAACATATATATGCGACACTTATACAAGACCGAATTTTTCATTGCATAATGTTGAACGGTTTGAGAGTCGATGTTGTACTAACTTCAAAATCGAACCACTTCTTTCCCTTTTAGATAATAGACAAAAGCGTCTTTTTGTGCATGAAAGTACGTGTGAACGGGAAGTGGTTGGCGTGGCAATATAGCAGTTGTAATAAAATCAAGAGTTCACTGTATATGATAATTTTACCTGGCTACAGCTGGAACATCGTATCCACTCTTAACATTGTCAGGACCAACCGGTACAGCTGCAGTCAAAAGAAGCCTCGGCATTTTCTTCTCTTGAGCCTCTGCTTCGAATGCTTCTCGAAGTTCTACGAACGGAAGAATTCAATGAAACGAGCTGTAAAAAATAAATGTCTGACAATAATTTTTACGACTTGTCATATTGAATCACCTTTCAGCAGAAGAATATAGTTCTTTTTATCGTCTCCTCCCTTTGGATACTCCCAATCGATGTCAAGACCATCGAAATTTCGATCTCGTAGATACGGTATAGCGCTGTAAATGAAAGTCTGCCTGGCGAATCTTGTCGAAGACATGTCTTTGAATTTCTGGGTACCGAACGACCAGCCACCTGGTGAATATTAACGAGGTAATATTTTGACATTTTTGCATAATGCAATATATGCTTTATTATACACTATTTTTATATAAGTATATTTTACAAGTAAATGCCACATTTACATGGTTTCTGAAACTCACCGATAGCAAGAAGAATTTTTAACGAAGGATTAGCCTTCTTTAGGTTAATAATTTTCTCGTAAAGTCCAATTTTCCCATCTTTCGTTTCGTCGTTTGATTCGAAGCTCGTTAATTTATTCTTCTTCAGCCAGCCAAACGCGAAGATAATGTGCGTGCAGAGATCGGGTTGAATGTCCTCAGGTACGAATTTTCCAATTTTCGTACGGTATTGTGACCAGTTCGTATAGTAACATACGAGCTGTAAGTATTAAAATTGTACAATACTTTCTTCCTCCAGTATAGAAAGCGTGTTTATTGTATACTATGTAATTTATCCAACTGTACGATGATTGTTTACGTTTATTGCTCGAATAATTTATTTATATGCAACTTCTGGTGAAGAATAAACACATGAATCCTATAAAACTACGATAAATATTTTAATAGGTATACATTTACAGATTGGAAGATTCAGTTTTTTAATTTGCGCCCAGAGTAATACACATGAATTGGACAAAATAATTTGACGAACTCAACTGAATTCTATAATGGAATTATCTCAAAATTTTGATAACGCTTAAAATATGAAGATTTCGTGTCGCAATATAGTAATAAGTGACAGGAAAGATAAAATTAATGTTCTCACGAAGATTGAAGAAATAGTTGTTTATACTTCAGAGATATTTGTGGCAGAAAAATATCGTACCTACCTTGTAGTCTTCCGTCTTGCCAGTTTGAATTTCATTCTTTTTGTTTTTGTTGTTTATACGATTTCGCGTGACTTTGAATCTATTCACACTGGCCGAAACCTCTTGATCGTTCGAACTTGATGAGCTACTACTACTTGTTGTTGGCCTGCGAAATCTTTTCCTTGCACCTACGCAATCGAATTTATTTATTTTTTAATCTATTCCTTTGTTTCTATCGCCGACTATAATTCCGGTAAAGAAAGAATTTCTTTACGGTTTTTTTTTAACAATTATCTTAACAGATACCTTATATTTAATCAAATGATGAGTAATTATTGGGTTGACTTGTGAACAAGTTTCACCGTAGACATTAAGAAATCAGTATGTAAATATTAATTAAATAGTAACGATAATAAGAATATTTAAACTGTGAACAGCAGTCACTGATATACTAATATTAATTGCAAAATAGCATTAAAACTGGAAAATGGAACTTATTTATGACTTAATCGAATATTGAAGTATTTTTTTATTGAATAATATAGGTTTGTCTACCTTCTGCATTGTCGAGGATCCCGAGAAGTATGATGAGGCAGACGAGCAGCAGCCAGGTCGTTCTGCTGGTCGACACCTGAAAAGAAAGTGGGTATGATATTACATTTTAATCTTTGAGAAGAAAAGAAACATGTCATATTAAGACACTATTCATTATTTTGTAAGTAGACTGCGGATAGTATCGGTTTATAACATTTATTGTTTATAACACATATTTCTTTTACATATTCCGTTGTAACTCAATACAGTTTCACTACAAAGATGTAAATCTGTGTCTTTTCTTCAGTTTTTGTAAATTAGTGTGTAAAAATTAAATGAGTACAATGATTTATTTTTTTTATCAAAATATTATATAGTTATAATAATCGTCTGAAATGTATACAATTTGAAATTGAGCACAGTGCCGACGTTCTTTGAAAACCCATTAAATAATATTATAATAAGTTATTATAATGTATATTAATATTATTAATACTTCTTTAAATAAATAGAAATGTTAATTACAATTTATATACACTATTCTAACTTTATTGTTCTTGACACATTCGACCTCATTTATGAAAGTAGAATTTCGAATGTTTAATTTGTTCGTAATCCGAGGTAGTCAACGAAAGAATTTTAATTGTGACGGTATTTCCGGTACTTAGCCAAAGCTGGAGAAAGCTATTGTGGTTTCTTCAATGAATTACCAAGCAAATCTTTGATAACGATGTAGAGAGGATTGAGATTCACGGATTTCCCTGTTTGACTAAAATCGGTATAATCGTCTACGCTAAAAAACAAAGCTCCTTCACCACAAACGGTTTTGTAGAAAGTTTCGTTCCATTTGAAAAATGTGTTAACTATATCCCATTATTGAGTCACTTATTTCTTTCCATATTTGAGAGATTTCTTCTATTCGATTTCCTAAATCGTTCTTTTTGTCATGACCTTGAGTACACCTAGTATGAACAGTATGAAGACCTCATATTTATAAATAAACAAGATAAAAATTAAATCGTAAATAATATTGATCGTAATAATGTTAAAAAAGATCGGGTATTTTATTGTACTTAATTTTTAATAAAATTAATATTGTATTTATTAAAGAAAATTTTTTCCTGTCAGAATATATGTATGTATTTTAGAAAAGAATCAATTTAAATAATCGAAAATTATACGTTTCCCTGCAACACAATTGGATTTATTTGTACAAGTATGTTTAAAAATATGTGTAGCAGTTATATGTGTAGCAGTCATATGTAGTATATGATAAACATTTCGAAAAATCTCTTCAGTTTAATCTCACTCACTATATCCAAATTACCCGAGAGAAATCCAGTTACATTCTTTATTGTTTTATTTACTGCTACAATGAAATAAAACCATTGCCATCACAGACTTCCAACACAAGCAACAAATCCATACACTTTCTACTACTCTATCGTATCATTCCGTGTATATACTCAATAAATGGACTAAATTAAACACAGAAAATTCATCAAAACTTTTCCACTGACCTAATGGTAGTCGCTAAATTAAGAAGAAATGTTCTCCCAACATAAATTTGGAAATTAATTCTAAAGGAAAATGTAGGTACTTTATTTCAGCTTTTAGATTCGCGATATAGATATCCACAGGATCTCTCTGTGGGGATTTCAAATTAATGTCGAAATGCATGGTAGACATATGAAACATTTTTTGTACTCCGGAATAAATATCGGACTTCAATAAACATCCATCTTCGTTTACACCAATCTTGTAAAATCCTCAGTATTAATACAATTCTACTAAATTAATTTTGCATCGCGTTTCTATCGCAATTAGAACACAATGGAGAGATCTGGCCGAGCATTTGCTCGTATTCTCGTGACACTTATCGTAATGATGAAGGGAAAGCACCGTTGACAGAAATAGAAACATAAAACGCAATGGCGCGATAAGTCTGATTTTCTAAAATTCTTGACCGAAACGATTTTCGTCGGTCGTTTCAATTTTTTGCATTTTTACTTTGTAAGCGATTTTGCCTCTGAACTTTCTCGTTCATCGATATAATTCTTTACTGGAATAGAAACTGATATACGCCGTATTGGTCCTGCAGATAGTTACAATACAGTATTTTATAATTTTTTAGATATTTAAGGTCATAATAAATAAAATAACTGTAGAACTTTTTGTAAGTACTTCTGTAACTTTGTAATACAATGTGATTAGGAATAGTGTTTCTTAAAAATAATTTCGACAAATGGAGGATACAATGGTAACTTATACTCATAATCAATTAATTTTATTTTACTGTGTTTTTACATGCAAAGTTTAGGAGAAAAAAGATATAATTAGAAAACTGTATGATTTGCAGTGTAAAGAATCAGTCTGCATTTTCAGGAAACATCATGTGTTAGCTAATATTCTCATTGACATAATGTATGGGGAGTCTGATTTTATTCTTTGCATTACATCATCTCCGAAACTGGCGGTCGTTATTAATTATCTCCACAACTGGTGGTTGTTATGGTCTAGATAAGAGTTATTTCTTTTAAATCTAGACAGTATAATTCTGAGTTCAGATGGAGTCACTTCCAAGGTTTGAAGGCCACAAACTTTTTTTTCCTTTTTAATCATACACGTTTTACTGTTTAGGTTTATATCGAGACAGCAATCTGGAATGTCTAGGGTAAATCAAGATAGAATAGAGCCATATTTCAAAAAATGGTTAGAATAATTTCCACATCCGACTGGACAAAATTTGAATGTGTATGTTTATCATTAAATTTTTGTTATTCTTGCATACAAACAAAGTTTATTAGCTAGTTCAAATTTCTACTATCCTCAAATCACACACTCCGTGCAATACATGTATGACAATGTACGTGTATTTATGTTTATACATCTATACATATACCAGTGTTTGTGAGGTTTAGTGTGTTCATTTTATCCATTAGTTGTTACATTTAAAAAAAAAAGCTATTAAAAATGTTCTATTCTCTGTCGTAAACAAATTTGCTTACAAATATTTTGAAGAATTTGTAATTCAATTTTCTCGAAAACGAAAAGAAATTTAAACGTCACATTTTTCCCGCCGTAAGCGAATTCAGTGGTAACCCTGCTTATGACAGCTCTGACAAGCTGGACAACGCCTGAAATGGCTTATGGCCAACGCTTGGTGATGCTTGGTTTTTGACAACGGCTGAACGGACGATACAGGACAATGCCCGGTGTCGGACTGTAATGAATTGTAATTAACTGTAATACATAAAGAATGATAAAGAAAAGCATGTGTTTCATTGCAGTACACGCAGCTTTGTCAGCAGCAGATACACGTATGTATATCATCACCTATGTAATCGTCATTACAAAATAACCTAAGAAATCGTGCCAATCTGAAATCTTCTATTCCGCTGAAACTTTAGAGCGAATCTTTCGCAATCTTTCCACGATATAATAGTGAAAATGCTTAGCGAGAGATTATAAATCCGATTGCATTCTCGTTCGTACAAAAAAAGTGTTTTTTCTTTTCTACGATATTTTCACTCCATTGTCGTTCACGTTGCAATTACGCGGATGAGGCTCTTTATTATGCTTGTAATCATTCCACGTTATACTTTTTAGTTGCTTCATTATTATCGCTGCTTACTAATTAACGCGATGCTTGAAGATTAAGGAGCAAAACCGTAACTTGTATTCTTTCCAAAGGAGGCAACCGCCGCGTCTGACTTTTATGCATTTGCATACAACGCGACTCTTCCGTTCTTTTCTTTTGTTTTCCGGCGAATGAACGCGCCTCACCTATCTTAACGGTCGAAAATTTAACAGCTTACCAAATCCTCGTGGAAAGTACAAATTGTTGTAACAATAGTATCATTTTTTCATTGTTTTCGTTTGGAATAAAATTATTTGCAGCTGACTTTGTGTTCATTCCAATTGAATTATTTTACATTAAAATAACGATGATCGATGATCGGTCAGGCGTAAATATTAACATTTTAATTGCCACATTAGTCATGTATGGGCAATACAATTCTTGAATCAACATTAAAAATTAATATTTCTCGCAAGATATTTTCTTATTGTAAAAAAATCCTATTTAGAAAAAAACCTGTTTCAAGGTCCAAAGGTTCCAAGGTCTATAGTTAAGATTTTGTCCAATTTGCAGATTATTTACTCATATCTATGTAGACCTTAATATTACACCTATCACAAAAAGCATTGATAAGCCTTAGTTATATGTATTCCAAAAAAAACAGATTTAGTCAGGAGCTATGATATTCAAGAATGTGAACAGCGTGATCATTATGATAAATATTAATTTGTCCATTCTTGTTTCATTCACACAATTGCCTCAATTTTGTTGCATTTTTATGATTAGGAAACCTATTGATCTGGCAGTTAAATATTTTAATTTATAAACTCTGTCATTTTTAGATCATATACACGTATTTATTTAGGCTTATTTAAAGTTAATGAATCTAATCTAATGGAGATTCAGTCGCATTGCACGGGAATACAATGGAGTTCATACAAATACACATATTAGGATGCAATAAAATTCAAGTATGATCAATTAAGTAAATAAAAAGATGTACAATGAGTGAAAGGTAAAGTCGGGTAAGAATGGCAAGGTCTCACAATAATATTCAACATTATTTTCCAACAACTCATGTTATTTTTACAAGAATTAGGGTTGGAACATAAATTGTACATTCAAATTAAATGACATTGGCATGTAATTAATCCTGTCATTCCCAAATTATTTAACAATTACAAAAAGAATACCTTTACAAAATTCTTGTCTATATGGTATGACATAAATGGTTCACAACATTTGAATATTTTGAATACATTTAATGCCATTTTTCATTAGCTACCACTTGTCAACTTTCTCTTACTTTTATCGTAGTTATGTATAATAATTTACAATATTTTAAGTTACTGTATATAATAAAACCCATTTTTCTTAACTTTCATCAGTAAACCTTCTTGAAAAATTTGAAAGAAATTAAGGTCTTATAAGTTTTGCTCGACCCTTGAATTCTAGCAAATGAAAGCAACAAAGGATCGCAATATTTTGTTTCGTAATTTGTAACACGTAATCATATG